GGAGAGGATGTAGGACTCGGGAGCTATAATAGGTTTGGTAACCAGGCTAGAACTTTCTGAATTCAGTTCCTTGTGCCAAACACATTGTAAATGTCACAAAAATACAATCTCCTTGGCCAAAACAAGTTCTATTGTATAAAAAATATGAATGAAGGAGTAAAGCCATGAAAGATTTATTTTTTATTATTGTGACCTTAGATTCACCTTTATTGAGTTGAAAATATACTATTTATACACTTGTAGAGCATAGCAGCATCTCTAGCCTTGTTACGGCTTATTGCAGTTTAATGTTACATTGCATTGGAGTTACAGTACATGAGTTCTAATTGTTGCATCAGCAAGGTGCCAACTTTTTTCCGTATCTCTCCTCCACCCCATGCAATGCTGCACCAGTATGAAACAGAGCATTTAGCCTACTACAAAATTAGTTGTAGCTATAGCATTCATACACCCACCCTACCAATATTATTGCAAATGGCTATCCCTACCAACAAGGGCAGGAAAAGTATGTACAGGATCACCAAGTTGGACTGTTGCCAATTAGGACAGTCAGCAGGAAGGAGGTTAAAATGGCCAACAACCAAGAGAACATCAGGTCCCATGACCCTTTATTCAACCGCGATGGGGGCGACATCGTCTACCAGATACCTTTGACCCAGTGTCACAGTTCAAAGAAGCCACGTGATAAGCTTCACTGGGTCAGTCTACTGAGGAAGACCAGAGTGACTGGTCGAAAGATCTAGGCTAGGACATTCTACAACAGCGTCCTTGCTCTAGGTGAGTTGTTGTGTTGGATCAAAAGTTTTAACTTTATACTAGGAGAGAACTTGTGTGGCTGTATTTAGTCGGAGTTCTCCTGGTTCTCCTGCCACCAGCGTTTTTCGAACACCATGGTACAGCAGCCGACTCCTGACAGCGGCTCGGGCAGGCCGTGGTTACAGATGCACCACTCGTTCTTGGCAGGGTCAAACTGGCTGATGACTGACAGGAACTGCTGAGTGTCCCACCGGTATCCGCCTAACACGTAGATTTTCTCATCCAGCACGAGACATGAACTTTCACTCTGAAAAACACAACAACAACTATCCTTAGACCTACAATGATGGTTACCTCGGGGTAATAAAGCACTATAAATTCATTTATTTTAGTGGGGACTTAATTTCCTAGAAGAGGAAATGATTTTTTTGCAGTGTTTTAAGTTTGTGGTTGAAAAAATTTCAAACAATTTCATCTACAAGCACAAGGTCAGACAGGACCTGCGGAACAGGCATGTTGGCCATCACAGTCCACTGTCGTGTGGAAGGGTTGTAACACTCCACTAGCTTCAGGTCTATCTCTTCTCCATTTGCGTTCTTCTCATTCCCACCCAGGACGAACATTTTGTTCCCAACTGCCGCCATGTTGTGCCACGCCCTCCTGGTTACCATGCCGGATTCCTCGTGCCAAGAGTTTCCGTCAATGTCATACCTGCGTAAGGTTCACAACAACAATCACACTCCTGGTACTGTGGGAAGGAGACATGTACATGTATCATAACAGAAATTGCAGGTAAAGGATGGATGGATGGATGGATGAATGATAAGAATAACACTAGGCATTAATGATAGCAAAATAACATTCACCCATAAAAATAGATACATGTACACAATAAAACTTAACACAAATGTAAGTCCTACCTATAGACTGTGCTTATTCTCATCATAAGCTGTAGAGAGAACCCTCCTGAGATGTAGATGTTCCCCCCAAGTTTACATCCTGCGTGGCCGTGGAGTGCCTCGGGTAAGTCCGCGACCCTCGACCATAGGTTCTGTTTGGGGTCGTAACGTTCAACAGATGACAGGCAGTTCTCGGTCTGATTTCGACCTCCAATTGCGTACAGACATCCTTGGGCTTCCACAAGGGCAAAATCTGTACGGAGTTCTGTCAACGACGTCACCTGCGTCCAATCGTTTCTCCTGGGGTCGAACCGGAAAACATCGCTGATTCCCGAACGTCCGAGATCGACCGGGTGGTTAACCGCATTTTGTCCACCCACAACGTAAGCAAAGTTGTCTAGTGATGCAACCCTGTGGTATGCCATAGCCTTGGGTAATGTTGGACGGTCCCAACGATTAACCCTGGCTTCCATAACTACCTCGAAAACGCTGTCCATCACGCCCAAGTCGCCCTCCCCGCCCACCACCAGCATGTGTTCCTTCGTGTTCCTGATCCGGGTACGCGCTGTCTGCAAGGCTGGCTGCATCAGGACGTTACTATAATGTTACAGTAATTTGTTTATTTGTCAGTAGATCAATTGTAATGGAATGGGTAACCTGAGAACCTTCATGAAGACACAGTGAAACGAAATAGAGTGACTGACTGCAGCCAGAAACTGTTTCAACAAACATTTTTTTCTTAACCTTCTCCCTTCTACTATTAACCCCATAACCAATACAGTGTCAAACAGCTACCCTAGCATGCTGAAGGTTAAAAAGAAAGCTGACAGACCTGTGGTACTGTCTAGCCTCCTCCAGCAGTGGTTCACAGGTGGGGTTTCTCTTCATGAAGTCATACTGAGACTCCACCACCTCCTTCAGTAGGTCCTCTCTGATCAGGGGAAACCTGATACATGCCATCACCTGCAAAGTGTTAATTGAGGCCGTTTAATTCAGTTCATTTTCTTGGCTATCCAGCACTTCAGAGCAAGATGACAACATACATAACATACACTCAAGGTACAGACATTTTATTACAGTTTCCATGTTCAACTTCAATCTAATTCAGCATTTACCTCTTCCTTCTTTAGATTAAGTTGGCATGGCTAAACACTGTGACGTCCTAAATAAGCTCGAATGGCAGATAGGAGAGAGCTACAAAGGAAAGGTAATCATGGCACAAAGAACAATGGGTTTTTACATCTGATGTATCATCTGTCTCACCTTCCTCAACTTTAAGGCAACAATGACTGTTTCTGATTCGTATTGCAGCCTGGTGTCACTTAATACTGTGCATCTATATGCATATTGTCAAGATGATGAACAAAGAACCTTCTTCCACAGTCTCTTGTCAACCTAATGAAAGTATTCACAGAAAATCAGACCAACAAACCTGTCGTGCATACTGTAGACGTTCTGGCTTGTTCAGTAGCCACTGTGCCGCCACATCAAACAGAGACAGCTCCCAACAGCCCTCCAGATCATCCCTGGCCAGGAAGGAGCAGAGTTTCATGTAGTCCAGCTCCATGAACTCCGGCTCTTCTGTGAACAGTCGGAAGTTTTTGACGATGTGGCTCTCGACGGAAACCCTGAGGTGAGTGAGACCGCACGCGTCTGCGATGGCGAGGACGGCTCGATGGTTCTTCAGCTCCAATCCTTCACGGAGGTAGTTACAGCACACGTCAATAAGGGACTTCACCTGCACAGTGGTGGTGGAAGATGATCCAGAAAGCATTACTTTTAGAACCATAGTAAAAAGTTATGGTTGTCTCCTAGGCTTCTTAAGGCCATAGGGATTGTGAGCTGTTAATCCACTGTGTCTAGGGCACGCTATTGTAAAGCTGAATATAATCCCTCTCCTTCCACCATCTTTTACCAGTACCTCCCCAACCAAAGTTAGGTACCTGGATTGGGGTGAGAAAAGTTGTATAAACTTAGTCCTTCCCAGGTACATAATGTATAGCCTGGAATAAAAGGAATGAAACTGTCACCTCTCAATCTCATGTCTAGCCACTCGGCCATTCAACACCATTAAAATGTAACCGCTGTATATCAACATTTCTTTAAGGAAAGTAAAGACAAGGTTTTATTAAAGTTTTCAGCCACCGACCTGTAGATGGTTGGCTGCTTCCAACACGTCCAGTATGTTGTCAGGTGTGATGCGCACCTGTGCAGTGTACGCATACTCAATCACATGGTGCAGACCTACAGCTGTCACCTGGTCATGCACAGGTGAGGGGACAGAGAAAAAAGCCTTAAGTTATTGCTTTATACTATGCATGACATACATTACAGTTATTAGTGTCATAGTTGTGGATTCATTTGACTACATCTGTTTATTGTTAAGTACAATGTCAAGCTTGAGTTTGCAAATATGATGGTTCAATCATTTTCATTAATTGTTTAATGTTACTTATCTACAGCACTTTATAAACCAATCATTCATATTAGCAATGATTGTCCAATGATTCAACACTCAACAGGAACTGACAATCAAATTTGACATTAGGCTCAAGACAAGTTTTTGAGGCATTGATATGCAAATTCCTTTGTTATATTCCTTTGTTATTTCCTTGATTTGTTTTTGTATTATTGCCTTAATTACTATGAGTTGTGGCTCTTGGTTTGACAAGTTTGTTTTATTACCACCTTACTGAGTTGCGGCATTATATAGTACTTTTACTTTTATTTGTACTAAGTTGACTTTAATTTGTACTTATAAGTTGACTTATCATTTTGTTATATCTGTTATTTTCTTGTATATTTTATTTATGTATGCCTGCAGGGCACATTGAAAAACGCCTTAGTGGCGATATGTACACCCTGGGTAAACAAATAAAAACAAAACAAAAACAAAACAAACAAACAAAAAGGACAGAATGGGAAATTGAAAAATACAAAATGTAGTAACCTTCAAAAATGCATAATTTGCACTATTAATCAATATCATGTTATTTAAAACAGAATGTTGCTTTTCGCCTCTGAGTACTGACCCCCAGCAGTTCTATACAGTTTTCCCTGCTCTCCCTCAGCGGTCCTGTGAACATGGCCCGGAAGTAGTCCGTCAGGGCCGCCATCACCACCCGGTGCACGGGGAAACTCCTCCTCTCCGCCGTCAGCGTGACGTCGCACAGGCTGTCCTCGGCGCGGAGTGCGTTCAGCCCCCGCAGGATGTCCCCGCCGTGCACCTTGGACGTGTAGGTCCGCGTCAGGCTGGCGGGAAGCTGGAGGTCTTCGGAGTGGACTGGCAGTGACGTCATGGCTCCATGTTGTTCACACTTTAATTTGTGTACAACAAAAAAGTAGGTTGTTGGCATGGCAGTGTTGCATGTGATATGCAAATACCTCCTGTTTGTTGTTACACTGTACTTAGTAACACTAGCACAAAACGTTACGATATATCCTACAGAGTGATGCTATAACTACACAAACTCGTGTAACACATATTGAAAGGAGCTTTCGAACAAAAAACATAATGTCATTTTCGTTATCAAAATTATGACGAAACGACAGTAAGTAGTACTGGTATATAAATAATAGAGAGGGAGAGGCGCCCTCGAATGCATGCAAATTTATCAGTCCATAGAAAGTAAATTCAAAGAAACTGGTCACAAATAACACTGTCTCCAATAACATGGGACCATGCTACAATGTTATAGCTTAAAAGGGCATCTTAATATGCCTAAGGTTTTAAATATTCACCGAAAGTATCAGAATGACGTCTGGAACTGTTGCGGTTTTCTTCCACTTCCGCGTTTGTCTTGGGTCACCAAACCGCATCAACAAGTAACTTACAATCCTCGTGAGTACTAGTATATTATCAAAGATAAGTATAAAACATACAAAAAGCAAGATATTAGAAATATGTGTTCGGGTCTATGTTATTCACATACATTGTATTTTCTATCTTTGTATGTGTATGTAATACATTAAAGACTTTCGCGTTTGGATGTTACCTTTGGGGTCACCATTGGGTGCTACCACTCGGTCTCCGAGGGGAGCACAATCATGTTTGACTCTGAGCTGAGGGAAGAAGCTGTAAAGTAGCAGTTGTGTCCACTTCGGAACCGTGACTGTCCAGTTCTGTGCCTGAGCGGGCACTGGACACAGTCTGACTGTCCAGAACTGTGCCCGGGAAGTGCTGTCAACCTTGCCTGCACTGGGCTTGGGGGATAAGCACAGTGTTGTATTCACTACCCTTGCCCCACAGAATCTGCTTGGAGATTAGTATCCAGGACTGTGCTAGGGTCATTTGGCAAACTCAAAAGGCTCATGTGGGGTTTTCAAGGTTTATGTTCTTTTTCAGATGAACTGAACTCATCTTATATAGCAGCGTTTCGGTTGATATAACCTTAACTGTTTAAAACGACCTATTTCTAACCGGCTGCTGATAATACATGTAACCTTAACTGTCATAAAGTTACTGACTCTGCCATCATTGTGAACTGACCTTGAAGTGTGCTCTTTTGCTCAATGATGACTGTCCTCTGCTGGCTAACACCAATTGTCCTTTCCCACCATCTTGAAGAAGATATTGGGCAGCTACATTATTATATTCCTAGCTGTCAAACCATCTGCCACTAAGTTTGGGGGACACTGTTTTATTAATCGCTCACCCTGCAGGATCTTTGTAGGATTTACAGCATTGTAGCAAACTTTTTTTTTAAGTTCAAACATTCATGCATGCTTGGGTGTCATCCACTCTCACTCAACACATATGGAGAGACAAAGAGTATAATTAGTTATCAATTAGGTATCAATTCTTTCCAGTTTAATAATACTGATGATGTGCAAGCAAAGAAGAAATAAAAAAGTGATATGCTACCATTTATATATAGGAGAAAAAAAACCCTCTTGCAGATTGATGTACTAACTCAGTTTTACTACAATATGTAAACATGTCTACAAGAACACTAAACAGACGTGCACATTATTCAGTCTTGCTCAATTCAATTACAATATTACCTCCACATTGTGACTATTGCATACCTCTTTGGTCACATAATGGCAACAAGATACTAGAACATTCACAATATACTCACACACTCCAAATACATGTATCACAGACTTTAATATACTTACAGCTTTTGGCAAATGCACAGGCCTTACTTCATAAATCCATCTTTTGTGAGAAGAAAATTTTCATGAAAAGAATTGGAATTTTTAGGGAGCCCAGAAGGCTATTTTGATGGAAAATGCTGGTTCCATAGGACAACTGTGATACTGTATCATACTTGTAGTCTGGAGACTCCTAGCTGGGTATTCTAATTTACTGTTACATGGTTCATTTTAGAACATTTTTTTTTTACAGTTTTACAATCACATTCTCTCATGTTGCAGTGATTTCATGAACTTCAAGGTGTTCCATTAGCTCTGTCAGCTTAACTGCTTCAAAGTTATTCTATACCATTGTCCATATTTCAAACGGTAAGATTCCATAAATTTACTTAAAATTGAGATTGTTTGCCTTGATTTTGGAACACCCTCTCCAGAGTGAAAAAGTCAGTCTGTACAATGTATATTGGTGTCACTGGTACGCATAATGCAATTTGGACCCAAACCTTAGAATAATTAAGAGACATGGATACACACCATAGTCTATACTCTGCAAACAACTCATTATAAAATTCTGTCCACCAGGGACATACACACAGTACGGTGAACAATATCCATGCTTAACCTCAAAATAACAACAATAGCTACGGTAACTTACCTATAGTAACATCTAATATACATCTTTCTCTATGCAATCATTATACTAGATGGCACCAGAGGAGTACAATAAGATACAGGGCACATCTTTCAGCACTTGTACAAGTCATGTACACTTTTTATACTACACATATAGAATTACTAGCTGAGGTACAACACTTTCAGTACAATGCAGACTAATCACTTGTTTTCTTTGAAATTGTAGCTTGAGAGCACACAGCATCTTTGTGTTCTATTGGAAGGTTTTGTGAAATTGTTCCGTCAATCTTTAGCCACTTGATACATACTGACACATCATGTGAATCTACTCTTTTTAAAAACGTCTCCCTACTGCCTAACCGGTTGACCAGCACAAATTTGGTGCCAAAAGGCTACCATAGCAGGCTGAAGGTTAATCCTCACAGCAGAGTGATGGGAACCCCCTGGGCATCATGACGTCCCTTCAGTCTGTCACCCCCCTGACCGGCAGGGGGGGTAGACTGCTTATTCTGTTGAGGTTGGGACGTTGGACCCTCATACGGGACAATGTCCAGATCCTCAGCTGTTGGTGCCTTGAAGGTGCTCATCATGGTTGATTGGTACTTTGTTGCTGGGTTCAGCTGGACATCATGGCTGCCCCTGAAAGCTGTGGACTCAACCTCCACATCAGCAACTTCATCATACGGTGTGATCTGTGGCTCGTCTTCTGAGATCAAGCGTTGCTCGCTCCTGTTGTCCACAAAGGATCTGAGGGAAAGAGATCAAACATGCGATAAAGTTACATCATAATCTGCCTTCTGCAGAGTTATGTTTCAACTTTCTGCTGAAATGTCTATGTGATTTTAAAGCTTTCATCTATGTCAAGGTACTTAATCTCTTCTACAAATTTTATAGAGTGGACTTATATTTCTCAGTGGCTCAAAGTCTTCAAATTCAAAGTAAGCAGTGTTATGTTGCATCTATTATAATAGTATTGTGATGAAATACCAGCCCTTTGCAAATGGAACAGTATGTGCAATGCTGTAAAATGAGTGAGTGGTTAGTCATGGTTCACATGTAATACATGCAGTAGTACATTGATAGTTGCTCAATGTGCATCCATCACCAGCTTTCCCTGTGAGTACCAAGAAACAACAAAATTTACCTGCAAATCTCAGTCTTCTCCTGTCAAGAACAAGTCCAGACAGCAGAGGGAAAAGAGTAGAAGAAGCATAATATCAGTGTACAGCTTACAGACAGCAAAGAAATTACACATAATGTTATATAGTCCTGCAGATCAATAAATTCACCACCAGAGATACAGCCCTCTTTAGTTTGTGTCTGCCAAACACATTGCAAAACCCATAGCATTTTGATAGATCTTTGAAGGTCAGTAGCTGGCTCTAGCTTGTTAAAAAAACCTATGAGAGCAAAATCATACAATGACCTAGGACAAATGACTGCACTAGTAGTACAGTACATGTACCAGATTATTTTAAAGTATATTTCAATTACAAGGCGGTATAACATCACATGCAAACACAGATTACAATCTATCAGTTCTCACCCGGTACTGTCTACATGCCTGACATTTTATCTACAATCTCTTTGAAGGAAGATTTTCTTCTCCTCGGCCGTCCTTGTCTGGGCGAGTCTCCGCCACTCTCTGCAGATGACGAGTCACCGGCAGACGACGACATTGAGCGGCCACTTTCAGAACTTTTCCGTCCATTTCTCGGAACGGGGGATGCCAGAGTGAGAGGTACGATTCTAACCGGGACCCCCCGGGCTGTCCTGAACTCTCTCCTGCTGGGGAGGTGGGCAGTGGTACTAGGGGGTGGTGCATTCTGGGAGATACCAGAGCGGGCAGGGCTGCTGAATGGGGTGCCGGTGCTACAGGGGATAGAAGGGATCGGGGTGCCCCCAACAGAGGTGTACCCAGAGGTAGGGAAAGAAGGAATGGATGGGCCACCAAACTTGGAGTAAGTGGCACTTGATGGCAATGGGTGGCTGGAAAAGGACGTTCTTCCACTGGTTGGTGTTTGGCCACTCAGAGGGCTGTGGAAACTTCCAGACGGCGTTCTCACACACCCTATGGGCACATGGTACTTCTGTGGCACCGTTAACAGTGGTCCGCTACTGGTTGAAAAGAGGCTAACAGGACTGTCTTCTCCTTCACTACTTGATGCATCTGCATCGATAGCAATTATGCTGTCTCTGTCGAAGAAGTCAGGAGGGGGACCGGGAGGGTAGGGAGGTGGCACGTTGGCACTCTCAAAGTCGGTGTCCACACTTTCAGAAGAAGCCATTGGGACATGATGGCAGCTGATCAGAGGGGCGACAGTTACGGGGACACGGCGACATCTGAAGGGGATCTTGGGAATGTTGTAAGTGTAAGTGCCACTGCTGGTCGGAGTGTCAGCTTCGTAAAGCATAGACCACCCACTACCAAGAGAGCTGTACAGAAGAGGTCTGCAGAAGGACAGAGAGCAGTAGAAGACAGAGAAGAGGTAATGAGTAAGGAAAGTTCATATATGTCAAGAAAAATAGTGAAATGATACAGGTAGGGACAAATACACAATGTACTGTTAACACATGTACTGTTGTCATAATTTACATGAAGTTTTATGTGGTTTAAAAGGATAACTTGAGAAGCAAGAGGAAAGCATAGAATGGAGCGAGGATGCAATATTTCTGGGAGGTAGACTTGGAACAAAGGCTCTTCTCTTTTTTTAAATGTTAATATTGCAGGTGAAGCAAAACATGTCATTCTCATAACATTGTCACTTTACATCAGAAAATTCCTAGTGATTTTCCAAATCCAACATAATGAAAAGTAATGTGCTCCATACACACCCTTTGTCAAACACTGGGTTCCTCATCTGTATTGCATAGAAGCTGCCGTCCTCAGCCTGGAACACTACATCCTGCTCATTGGGGTCTGTCCCCTCTGGGATCTCCATCGCTACTTCCTGCAATAATGTAGGAATCAATCAGTCAATCAATCAATCAATCAATACTTATTCAAACAAATCAGAGACAAAAGTCTGAATTGTGAGAAAGAAACTACAAACAATTTGAGATGTAAAAGAATTAAGCCCATGGTCTAAATTCAATAAAACACATAAAAATATTCACTTTGAAAAATAAGGCATACCTCCCACTGGCATATAAGTTCATGACAACAAAATCTTTAACTTACCTGTGACTCGTAGGCCCTGAGATATGGTACTCCACCACTGAAATAAACATTTAGTCACATTAAGTACACATCAAATCATTGTCTCACAATCAAAATGTTCATGAGGTAAAATAAGGATTTTCTTTCGTGATGAAGTAAATATGTCAATGAGTGCAAAAAACTAATACCATCTAAGTCTGACAAAAAATTGTATTGAGAATAAAGATAGCTTTTTTGGTAAAGATTGAAAGTTTTTTGTAATGCCATGAAAATCAAACAATGAGAGGTTAACAGTAACAGATTATAGTAAAATGAAAACTACAAAGGTTGGTAAACAAACTGTGAGAAGGTAGTGGGGAAAGATGCTCACAAGAAAGCTATGACAGCACAGATAAGGAAGGCCTAAACAGAAAGAGATGAAGAACAAAAATGATGTCTTAAATGTGTGTGATTTTGGGAAATACAAAGACAGAAGCTAAGAAATGATATGAACATAAAGCAAATATGAACATACTTGGTGTTCGTGCCATCTAGCTCCTCATACGCATTATAGTTGGGAATGTATAACAGCCTGTTCTTCCGCATCAGAGCATTCTTCCGCCTAGAATGTTGTAAGGAATCGTAGATTTTCTTGTTTCATTCTTTGGTCTAGTTTTTCTACCAGGGTTTATTTCTATTCGGTCAGATTACATTGGTCTTTTCAGATTCAGAAAGGCACTAAAAATCTACAATTTCACTAACTTACAAAATTACAGCAGCTTACTAGTTAACATGTAGACATGTAAGGTTGAAAACATTCACAAGGTTGATAAGGCACAGTTAGGATCCACAATATACACACAACACAACACAATACAATGCATTAAAACTATTCTTGGACTATTAAAGCTAATGAATGATTTATCACCCACACAGTATCATGCTTTTTTTAGTCTATCCAAAACAAGCTTTCTTTGTTTTTGTTGTCTCACCTTCAACAACACAACAGGTTGAACAGAGTTGCTGAGCATTGCGATGGCGGGAGGGGAATGTTAGTGGGATAACATGGATGGATTCAGCAGAAGTATGAAGACCATGAAATGTTAATGACTGACCCAACCATAAAGCTGGTCCCTTTCAATTTGGGAAGACATTGGGAAGTTGGGAAATTTGATTTAACTTCAATTCTTTGCATTGATACATTAGAATGTCAATCAGGAGGCAATGCTTTGCCATGTATTTTGACATAATAATACAGAATGGTACTCTCCTTGGTGCTGAAAGTTAGTGATAATCAGATTTTTCAACTTTCCAGTGTCTTCCCTTATTTTCAGTATCCTGTTTCTTAATGGTCATCATGCACATTGTCCCAATTTCTCTCTCCAAATTAATTGCAATCACTAGTGTCTCCCCCAGTTACTCCAAGATTACCAAAAAGCTATTATCCTGTGCCATTATTATGACAGAGCATTTCAGTAGAAAATTTCTGTAATTCCTTGAGTTGGAGAACAGTTTTCAGACTCTCATAGTCACTTTCAGTTAAACGGATCCCTCCTTACCGTCTCCATGTGATGATGATGACTATGATGCCCACCACACTGGCCAGAAAGATAAGACAGCCGAGTGCGATGAGCGCTCCCTCAGTGAACGACAGACTGGTCGTCATGACCTGTCTCTCCTCGGGGGCACGGACCTCCAACACCTCATCTCCAGGAAAGAAGCTGCCAAACAGCTTGTTGATTTCATCCATTTTGGATGCTAAAATTCTAAAAAAAAAGAGAAATGTGACAATGAAAAACTGATTCTAAACTAGACAAGTAATATTTGCAAAGCAAATGCAAGATGTTTACCTTCACACAGTCTGGCCTAACAAACTACTGCTCTGTTTATTTACTACAACACACATATATGTATGGTGACCAGCCCTTCCAACTCTGTCCTGCCACTTGCAACATGTAATCTACCGGTATCAACACAGGGTGTCTGCTACAGCACCAGTTACCATGGTGACAGGATGTCAAAGTTTTGAATTCACAATTAGAGCAGAAATAAAATTTTACAAGGAAGGAGGAGACATGATTAACAGTACTCACTCTAATATTCTCTCTTTGGACATTGGCTGATTTGTCTCTTTGTCTAATATATAGAACCCCACCTCCGTCCTGGAAAAGGAAAGGTATTAATTAGGTCAGGAAATACTATACAAAATTGATATGAAATATGCATGTACAGGTACACCATTACACAGACAGACAGATATGAAACATATCATGTAAAGGTGTAAATATGATCCAAGTCTTACTTTGTGGCATCCACAGTGCCTGCTTGCACACTGGGGCTGATGTTGTCAATCACTGCAACTCCTCCAGTGATGTTGGACAGCAGGCTAGAATGGTTATACAAACATACAGTATGTAATTTGGTAAAAATGGTAAGTTGCCATGCTCATGGTAAGTCTCCCCAACAAGTTGAAACTTTCAAGTATTGAAATTGATGGCTGTTTACTCTGCCTACACCTTATTACCTGGCATAGAAATACTACATTGGTCCTCTCCTTGGTGCTGAAACTACTGTGATCAGTATTATCTCGGACATACTGTCTCTTTCAGCCAATGAATTACATAATGTTGGTATCATCTATTTGTAAAATCAAATCTTCCAAGAGAACTGGCTGGAGCTAAAAGCTTTGAAAAGAAATTTAAGATGAACATCATACCTTAGGAGCTTGTCACGGTTTTCGTCCACCATGGTTGCTGGTGCATTCCCCACCAAGATGACTTTATTGTCTTCACTCATTACTGCAACCTGTTTGAACAAACCAATTTTTAGACATATCAAACATACTCTTGAAAATACTTCAATTTAACTGTTTGCATCACATAACTTGTTAGCTTACATAACAATAGTTTTGTGCTTGGAAGTCAGAATTGATTAAATGGAGTCCTTCCTGTTTCTGGATATTCACCCCTTAAATGTCATGGTTGTTGATAAAAACTAATGTCTGCATATCAAGGTTATGCAGAAACAATTTGTCACAAAGAACAGTAGGACCCTTTACCAGTATACATATACACATACTTACCAAAACTTGAGCAGATGCTATGTTGTTGCCATCAGATGCCTCTACAGTGACTGTCAGTACTTTCCCCATCTTCCCAGTAAAGGGTACTGCTGCCTTTATGACCCCTGTTGACCCTTCAATGGCAAAATTGCCTGTGTAATCTTCCTCCCCAGATGGCTTGAGTGAGTAGTGGACAGTACTGAAGTTCCCACTGTCAGAGTCTGTGGCCTGGCAAACAATGTGTGCAAACTGTTAGATGGTCTACTACTACTACTGGGGTACTACTACTACTTCTGCTACTACTACACATTTAATACAACTGGATAATAAGTGCAGAATTTCAAACAATCCTATGCAACAAAGGTTTTATACATTTGAATCAACTTTGTACTTATGTTGGATTTTCATTTACCATTCACAATCTTTAAAATTGATGAGTCTCTGTACTTTTGTACAGTCAGCAAAGTTTCTATATTAAGAAGAAATATTAATTAAATACAAAACTTACCTCAACCTTCAGAATACTTGCAAATGTGCCAATATTCTCAGTGACTCCTGAGTTAACAGAGATAAAAATACATGTATTAACGTGTTTTACCTTCCATTTAAACCTCATCATGAAAACATATTGAAAACTTCAACAGTTGAAGTAAGAAAACAGAGAAATTTACAGTTGTAGTGACAAAGCTCCTGAATCTCCCACCTGTGATATACTCCTCCTGAGTGAAGACAGGAGGGTTGTCATTTTCATCCTGAAGGGTGATGAGGATCTCTGCATAGTCAGGATCTACAAGACAAAACCAAGAAACTTCTTGAGACATAATCAGAGACACCTGCACCTATCATCCTTCTGTTGGTCACACCAAAACTGACTACATTGTACCTTAAAACAAAAGAAACGGAGTTAACATAGCAAATACATGCATTTGTTTCCCAACAATGTTCCTTACCATCTGCCTCTGTGGCCCTTCTCCTCCTCTTCCTCAGTGGTTCATCACTGTATGCCCTAATAAGGAGTCTGTAGGACACGACTGTTTCATGATCTAAGGTCTTATTCACATAGACCACACCTCCTGAATCTATCCGGAAAATTCCTGAGGAAAAAAAAACAGTGACTTACATTCACTAGTGAATATTTTCCTCATAAAATTTTAAAAATTACATCTAAAATACATAGTGCTGTTTAATATTCAACATAAAAAGTGATATACATAGTATTACACATACCCATGCATACACACACACACACACACACACACATGCACACACATATAAAACACATTACCTGCATTATTGCCCCTCTCTATGTTGTATGTTGCTGCTCCTTCAGCAAACACAGACACAACATCTGTTCCTACTGGGGTGTTCTCACTAAGGGAAGGCACTCTGGCAGGAAACAGGCAAGTTTCTATTTCAGTAAATGGTTCAGATGATCTTATTCCCAAACATTTCCATAACATGCTGATTATCAATGTTGAACCCTCAAACACATTCATTTGGTAAGTTGATATGACTTGAATACATATGAGCAGTTTGGATGGTCCACTATAACTGGGAAATTATATGCCAGTATTTCCATTAAAAAGTTAGTGGCCTCCCGTGAATACTCACTCATAGAGGTTTTTCTGAAAGACGGGTCGGGTGTCAGAGCTGAGCACCGTGATGCTGACTGTTGCTTGTGATGACATGACAGGATCACCTCCATCATAGGCCTCTACTACCAGCTAGGGATAACAATGACAAGGACACAGCAAGTTAGATATATGGATGATCTCCTCCTGGAAACCTAGTGGTTTTGTCTTACATACAAGGAAGTTAAGCACATCTGCATGGCAGAACTGCATATTGCTAATAATGTGTAGTTTAGCAGAGGATGCAGTACCTGATATGTGTCCCCTGGTGACTCCCTGAGGTTGACCCTTGTAGTGACCACACCTGTGTCTCTGTCCACCCTGAACAGGCCTGCAGCCATGCTGTCCTCATCAGCTAGTCTGTACAGGACCTGGGAGGATGGGGTGCCCTGAAAAAAACAAAGGAACAGTGGGGTTCATTTGGAGCGATGATAAAACCAAGGATTGTGCAGGAAGTTGACTAAACAACACAAAGGAACAGTTTAATTAGTACTTCTGGGTTCAGAAGTATTGTTTTGGGTGGTTTTTTCTGTGGGTTTGTGTGTGTGCTTGTCCAGACAGAGTAGGTTGACAGCACATGGATGGGGGAAAGATGGTCAGGCAGAATGACAAAAAAGGTCAGGCACAGGAAATAGTGTGAACTTCGGAGAGAACAGGTTACCAGTATGAGGGTGGGGAAGATTGACAGACAAAAGGTCTGACACATCTAATGGGGTGAACTTGAAGGTCATGAAACTCCAAAATACTTCCAATATGTCTGATATTTCTTGTTTAAAAGACAAATTACAAATATAAAATTGGTTGTCACAGATGTTATACATGTATAAGCCTACTCTCCTTCCTTCCTTCATGGAACATTGACTACCAGATAAACTTCACAAACCTTCACATCATTGTCAGTGGCATTTACAGTGGTGATGTTGGTGCCAACCACAGCATTGTCCAGCACCTCTGCTGAATACACATCCTGACTGAACAATGGGCCAAACTCATTCAAGTCCTGCAGGGACAGATAACAGACACAAGAGTCAACATCTGACAAAACTATTTTAATATTTAAAGAAATAGGTGTACAAAATCATGTACGTTGCAGCAAGGAGATTCATCAATCAATCAGATACAATAAAATACATTAGACATATATGATTATGCTCTATACTGTTTTTTCTCCTCTATCATGTGAAATTGTCCACAAAATAACTAAAATGAAAATAGCTTACACAAAGTATCAATTTGCTGAATCACTATTATATACACCACTTACATTCACGGCCACTACGACTGTGGTGTTGCCTTGATTTTCACCATCATCTGCCTGTACTACAAGAGTATATTCATGGCCCACTTCATAGTCTAAAGGCTGTAGGTTGGACAGTTGCCCGGTAGTGGAGTCAACAGTAAACAGGGAGGTGTCTCCATCAGCTATGGAGTAGGTCAGACTGGGGTCCAGGTCAGCATCTGTGGCCTGAAAAAGAAAGCCATGGTTTCATACGTGTACAAAAATATACAAGGCCAGTGACAACAAGATAGGATAACTGTACAGTATTTGCTGACCAACTGAAAAAAAAACACTACTGGATTATGGGTCAATGAAGGTAAGACATCCAGGTAATAAGATACCAGTTACTCAAGCAACTGGATATATTTTGAAAATAGATGTTTCAAGAAGTGACTGGGTGCTACTGAGGTTCTGGTAGTGGATTCTGCCTGAAATGTCTCTTTCAAAACTTTGAAGAACCTACATTTCAGGAGGAATACAACTAATATACTGAAGATACACATATTTTCAAACTCAGTTGTAATCTCACCTGCAGAGTTAGAAGAACGGTCACGTTTGCGTTTTCGTCCAACACGACTTCATATAGATCTTGAGGGAATTGAGGACTGTTGTCGTTAATGTCTGTCACATTTACAGTGAGAGTTATGGAGGAGCTTCTCCCATCTGGTGCTTTGTCATTTGCAGTGACCACTAGGATGTACTGGTCTTGTTCCTCCCTGTCCAGCTTTTGGGTGGCGTAAATAGCTCCCTCAGGAGTGATTTCAAAACTACAAGACAAAAGCAAAATCAGCATCATTATTTGTTCAAAATCAGCCTTGTAGTAAAAAGACTGAATTGACTTTTAACAATACAACAATATAGGACCTAACAATCATAAACAGGCTTCTGTCTTAATTACATGTACTTACCTTGAAGATACTAGATGATATTCTACTTCTCCTTTTGCTCCGATATCAGCATCAGTGGCCTAGAAAGAATAACAACATAATGCAGACTTTCATTAGTGTGAAAGAGTGTAAGATCAATCATTCTATTAAAGAGTGCATCATTTCACAGTATGATGAAGACTTATTTCACTTCACATATCTTAATTGTTGCAGAATGTTGTTCACACATTGGTTTTATAATCTTACAATGATAAAGATACAAGCACTAGCAGTCAAACCTGCCCAAGAAGGCTACTCAGCCTCTCAGGGCACCAGGTGGCTTTCTTGAGCTTGCACATATGGAGGGAAATTTAGGGACTGGGAAAAGGTGCTGTTATCACTAACAAAGTGGTAACTTGGGCAGGTTTGACTGTATACACTTACCTCCACCATTCCGATGTATACAGGTGGGTTTGGGTCCTGTTCCTCCTGAATTGTAAACTCGGTGGGAAAGGAGGAGTTGAAGATGGGGTTGTTGTCATTGATGTCTGTCACAACAACTTCTACTGTAGCTGTCGCTGTCTGTAAACAAGAGAAATATGATATTATTTTCTTGTGTTCTGATTCAAAGAAAAGGGAGTTTAGAATGATACGAATATAATGGTGACTTCGTAGTATGTCTTTATAATAGCAAGCTTTTTGTAGGCTATACAAAGACAATGCCTGCATAATATGTACTGCTAAATAAATCTACTAGAAAGTTAGTGGACTAAACCAGACTGATAGAAATTCATTCAACAACAACTTACCCCATTTTCATTCCCATCATCCACCAGGACAATCAGGGTGTATTCTGAGATATCTTCTCTATCAAGTTCTCTGTTCAAAATGATCTGTCCTCTGTGATAGCACAAAACATGATTGTTACAGGACTGGAAAACTGTTCACAATGCAGAAATGACTTCATTTATTGAAAAGACAGCCAACTATGACAGACTTATTGTGCACTCTAATGGTGTGGCAGACAAACAATTACAACAAGAAGGGTAATTACATTCACTGCACAGATGAAAGAGAAGAGGCACAAAATGAAAAGGGTGTTAATCTGGCTTATTTCCTTGAGATGCCAGAACTCAAGTCATATATTTCACACTCATGGTAGTTTGTGTTAGTTTGTAGGTTATATAATTGTAGGAGCAGAAATATACAAGAACACAGCAACAACATCACACAGCAAAACTTTTGACACAAGCAGGCATTTGTGTATAGTAGGGTTAATAAATAGAAATAACCAGCATGTCCCTACTCACTCCTCTGTGGCATTTCTGTATTAGAAGCAAGCAGACAGAGAAGAAAAAGACATTTAGGACATTACTAAACATCAAAACAGATATTATGATATCATTAACCCTAATCAGTAGCATATTTTTGTAACACACCAATATTCTGATATCAAGATATTATGATATTGAGGAAAGCATTAACTCTACTCAGTGACATGTTTTTTAATGAGGAAGCATTGTCACTTCAGGCTGTTTTAAATGACAGCTTTCATCTGTAAAATGATTTCAAAGGGAATTTCTCGGTCAAAAGTATCTGTCTCTCTAGAACATGACTATACTATGTCATTTTGAGGCCATACAACATTAAAAAAGTATTCAATACATCCTCTTTACAAAATATAGAAAAGATGCTCTTGTGTTGAGCACTGGAAACTCACACTTTTCTGGAGATGTTGAAAGTGTTGTTAGGATTCCCGTCAGCAATCACAAAGTGAAGTGGTTCCCCCTCAGCATCAAATGCCTGCAATGCAAAACCATAAACTGCTGTCTTACCGTTTCCTATACAAATATGGGACCTAAAAGTTATTTCAGAGTGGAAGACATTAACAGTGTCTTTCTCTTCTGAACTGCAGTGTCTGTCCTTAGTGCTGATAGATCAGATGTTATTGGTGTTTAATATTCAGTGACTTTTCTTGATCTCATTTGAGGTACAAAGCTTGCTCTACTTGATTGCAGCAATACCTGTCCTTGGTGCTGATATACATGTAAGTGTTATAAGGACAATTCTCTTGCTCATATTTGAGGTACAGAAAATCCAGACTTACATGAACTGTAGTCAGGGACGTGCCAATCTGAGCTCCCTCACTGATGGAGACATAGTACCTGGCAGGGTCAAAGGTCGGCCTGCTCTGGTTGTTTGCTGGGATGACTCTCACCTCCAGAGTAGTGACAGAAGACCTGGGGGGGGGGTATATTCAATATGCAAGATGTAGTGAAGCAGTATTGCACTATTAGCTAATGAAAAGCATCATGCTCTGTCCATCTGTCTCTCATGAGTCTGAGGTAGACAGATTTTTCTTTTAAAGATAGTATACTGTAAACAACACAAGCTGCAGAGAGAGTAAAATACAAAATAACATCAGTTCCATACTTGCGTTCATCCTGCGGAGCCCCATCAGCGGCCATGACTGTGAGAGTGTACACCTCCCCAGTCAGCAGACTCTCCTCCTCCAGGGTGACCGTCCCGTTCCGCCCGTCCACAGCAAACTTGTTCTGACCGTTGTTCGTCACATGCAGGATGCTGAAGGTAACTTCTCCGTACGCACCCCCGTCACTGTCTGTCACATTCAGCTGTAGTGTGGGGAACATACTTCATGAATAGCTTAGTTCAGATTCATTGATGGTGTCATGTTTTGGTCACCATGCTCTGTATGTTCATTCTGTTGTTCAACCTTACTGAGATTTGAAAATGAAGGCAACTTTTTTTCTTCATATGCTTGTTTTAGTTTTGGGATACCCAAAGGATGTCATCCACACATAATCAAATCAGCCTTAGGTGAAAACAAATTACTGACACAACATCAAAGTGAGTATTGAGCACACTGTTTTCTCACCTCATAAACCACATGCCCAGTTAGAGCGTCATCCTTGAGTCTGGTGATGTAGGGACCAGGAGGGTGGAACTGTGGGGTGAAGTCATTCCTGTCTACCACTGTCACCACCACTGTAGTCGTGTTGGTCAACTCACCATCACTGGCCATCACCTGAAAGGGTCACAGTTCTTAGGCCAGGACATAAGCCATAGTCCACTGTTCATTGTGCTTGTAGAAAAGAGCTAGAGAATTTCCCCAGTACAAATATAGTGAACCTGTAAATGTAAATACTGTATATAGCATCTGTCTTCTCTGTAACAACCAGTGCAAGAATAGCTCAAACTATGTACCAGCTATTTAACACAAACAAGCAAATAAACTCAAAGAAACCCGATGTACTCACAGATAACTCATACGTATCCTGTTCCTCCCAGTCCAGACTCTGAGTGATGACTAGGTACTGCACATCACCCACCGGTCTGAGCCGGAACTTGTCAGTGTGGTTCAGTAAGGTGTACATCACTTCTGTTCCATCCAGATCCACAGCCCTGCAGTTATTCATGGACAACTTTCAGTCATCACACTTCAAGTAGAAAGCCATATCTTCCCTTTTGTCAGCATCTGTACAGCCGGTATAACTGCCCTTTCGCATAACACACCAGCATGTTGGCAGAAAGTACTGCGCCAACTTATAATGTAAAGTACTTCAGCAGGACATCTTCTTTAGGTCATATTTGTGTATCCAAGGATGACATCCTGTCTGTAGTTTTCAAATATTGTATTAGGAAAGAAATCTTATGCAACAGGCAAAATTATGATGCAACATTGACCAAACATCCAACAGAAACTATGTTTAGTGCAGGCGTAGTGCGTTCTGCCGATGTGCCAAAAACAGTAAAGAAACTTTCAGTGTGATTCCAAATATAAGATGATGCATGTACCTTATCTCCAGTGGTTCTGCCCCATCCTGTGTGGTCACCACAGTTGTACCAGTTACAGTGTTCTCTGCCACAAACCCCACATACCCCCGCTCTTCAAACTGTGGGGTGTGGTCATTCAGGTCCAGTACTGTGATCAGGAGGTCAGCGTATGCTGGCTTTGGGTCATTTCTGTCCTGCTCTGCCTGTGGAAGGACAAATAGCATAACATTCAATAGGTTGAAAATTATTACAAATTTAAAGTTTGCCTCTATCATTTTAAGCATACCAATGTTGTAATAATTTAATATTCTTTATTGTGTCTTCATGCCCAGATGGGCTAATTGCATATACATGTATAACCAAGGTTTTACTACAGATGTGAATAATGAATGTCCTATTCTGTCTGTGGGAGGAAAAGAAACATCAATAACATTCAGTAGTCTAAGATTGAAAATTATTACAAAAATTTGCCTCTATCAGTAAATGGTATTTAAGGGAACCAGAACTTTGTTTCAACACATGATAATCAACCAGGCTTACTAACATCATAATAATCGTTATGATATTCTTTATTGCATGTTCATGCCCAGATAAGCTAACTGCACATATGACCAAATAAGGATTTACTACAGATGTGTGAATCATGAACGACTTATTCAGCTGAGTTCTTAATTTACCTTGATAACGATGCTGAACATCTGGTAGTCCTCTCTGTTGACTGCTCTCTGCAGGCTGACTTCACCAGTGGAGTTGTCTATGGAGAAGTACTCTCTGTAAACTGATGGATTTCCTGCAACCAACATCATGCAAAGAAATGAGCTCCTCTGAAACACAAATAAATGGCAGTAGCATATTGCACCAGATTATTTTTTAAAATTTTATTCCCACTGTAATCATTGTCATTACGTACTTTATTTTTTGATATCAGTATTAGTATCATTTTTAACTCATCACCTGTAAAGAAGCTGTAGACAATGTTGGGTCTTTCCTCTTCTGGCTGAATGTTCTTGTCCTGATCTACTGCTGTGATGCTGTTGGGGCTGACTGGGATGGGGTTTAGTAATGCCTGAAAAGGAAATTTTGAACTTGAAGAAAAGCATCTACAACTTAAGACTACGACAAATATTTTATGGAACAGTAAACATTTGTTATATCCTTCTTTATTCAACTGTAATACTATTCATATGTTTATGCTAGGTAACATACTATGTGATATAATACTACACTAAGAGAAGTAGGCAAAAATTTAAATAACAAAAAGGAAATCAAGTAAAAATCAATATCAATGAGTATGGAAATAACATTCATACAATCAACATTGACTTTATGAAGTGGCCTTGCAAGAATAGCTGAAGACATTACCGGTTCAGTTTTCTCTGTAACATTAGCCATGTATGTGACAGGGTCACAGCAAGGCTCAAACAACGGTCCCAGGTCATCTCCATCCGTGATGTTGACTGTCACAATGGTGTGGGCTGTGTTCTTGCTGGGGTCCTGTTCATCTGCTGTGTCCTATACAGATAAAACAATACATCTGGATGACCTGAATAATTTGGGGTTTTGTTTTGGGGCTGCCCACCCCATTTATATAGAAGTTGGTAAAAACCATACAGGCTTAAATCCTACAATGGACAGCAGCTGTTGATACTAGTGACACATGTAGATGAATCATACCACATACAGCACAGGGCCATCAATTTATTTTGCTGCATTTCCTGAAGATACTGCTGAAATGCCAAAAATCACCATGTTTCTTCGGGACCTCAATATCTACAGAGTACATAAAACTAGTGCAGAAGTAGTCATAAAATCTTACCCAGGCCTCCACCTTCAGACGATATTGTCTGGGTGGCGCCATACTGTCATAATCCAGTTGTCTAGAAACAACAATTGCCCCAGTCTTTGGTAGTGGAATGTTGAAGAACTCATCTGCAACCTGGGGAAAACAGGACAAACATGCTCAAGTTTTACATACAAATACTTTCACTGTGACACATTTATGATGACTTCTATACAAGAAAGTCTTAATATTCTCTTGTACATTTTTCAATACAGGTAAAAAGTTCTTTCAGTATTTGCTGGTAGAAAGAGTCTCAGGTGCATAATCTCATCCAGTCCTCATTACAAATATGGTGCCAAAAAATAGGCTAAACTGGGAGAGCAGAGCAAAGTAAAGTTGTAAGGATACTTACAGGATCATCTTCATTCTCAACAATCTTGAACTTGATCTCGTTGGTACCGTCCAAGTCGGTTACAGAGAAGCCATCCAGGATGGTGATCCCTACTGGAGTTAGCTCATTCACCTCCACAAAGTAAGAGTCAGGATGGAACTGGGGAGCGTTGTCGTTCAAATCTGTCACCACAACTGTTACTGGGTGTTCAATCTGTAACGGTGCCGTAAAAATCATTGTTTTATCTCTCACTCACATATTTAATAACACCACACAGTTCAGCACCATGAACAGCAAATTTACATGATGTTACAAAACATTCAGCTTACAGTCCACAGACTCTCTGCTCCTACAAATAATATATGACACAACTGATGAAATAGAAACAAACATCTATCCCGACTCCTGGCCATCACAATTCATCACATTGCATCCTCCCTTTTCCAAGACAATTTTGAAACAAATTAATTGGAATGGCTTGTCCACTGTGAAGTAACTTACTGTTCCCCACGTGTTGCTGACACAGACCACTGTGACCCTCAGTGATGTGATGCCATTATTACCAGCTGTGCCCTGAGAAGAGAACAGAGGAAGAGCGATATGTACATATATACACCATCATTATAGCAGTAAGAGCCAAGAAAAAAATCATTAGCCAAGAAAAATATAATCAGATCATTAGTGAATAGAAGGAATCATAGACAAATGACTGAAATTTTCAATGAACTTGTGTGAGTGAATGTATACATGTATTACTTTTTAAAACCTTGAGCATAATAAAGGGACACAATCTGTTCTAGCTCTCTATTACAAATTATCTTGAATAAAGAATAAGGATTCATGGAAATGTTTACCACAGCAATAACACATTGTTCTAGAAGTACAAACCAAATACATACATCCCTGTCCAATGTGTTGTTTCCCGTAACATTCAGGTACAATGTCTGGTTAATGGGATCCAGAATGACCCAATGAGAGTCTGGTGTGTTCTTGAGTGACAGTGTTATAGTGGCATTTTCCCCTGACGTCTCACCAACAATGTCCATGTAAGGGACCAGCACAGTACCTGAAACAGTTCATAATATCCTCATGACATAGACACATTTTTCCTAATCCAAATTGAGTTGATTAGATTACTGGAACCTATATCATAAAATCCAGGAGCCTCAGCATTACAATTGGGGACTAGATACATGTATGTATGGTCCAGATTGAATATCAGCATGCAATTCAGTACATTGGACAGATATATCTTATCTATTATTCTGTAAAAAAAGGCATGTTTACTCAAAATGCATCATTTCATCTTTTGGGGATGTAAGATTATTGATTGATTTTGAGGTGCCATGAACTTCAAGGTATGATCTACTTACCATTTGGACTGTTTTCATCCACATATGCAAAAGTAGTTGGGCCAGCTTGGCTATTCCTGAGTGCACAGTCTGGAAAGAGCCAATCAGAAGAGTTATTACAACCGTAATTATATGCGTGAAAAGAACCAATCAGAGGAGCTGGGACAGCTGGGACCAGGTAGTAGCAAAGTACTGAGGTCAATGTCAAATATGTGCTCAGGGGATGGTCTGCAAAGAATAAAGCCAAAGCTGGGTTAATTTGCTGCGTAGAGTCAGATTTTGTTGATTTTAATGATGATTTAATAGATTAAATGGAAACCACAAATATAAAAAATTGACTCATTAAGAAACATGTAATGTTGTGTTTTTAAGCCATGAAGAAAATGAGCAACAAAAAGGGCATTTCTTGTAAATGTATGTTTGCACAGGGAGGGTTGGCAACATTTGAAAATTTGTCCAGAAAGTCCAGAAAAAAGTTGGCAAATTCACCAAGAAAGATCAAGAGTTGTTTTATGGGCACAACTCTTACCTAGAGCAAGTTCACTCACTAAAAGAGGAAGAGAGAACATGTGAGAACATGCCATATTCAGTAGAGCTTAGTCACAAAACAGATATACAACAAACAACTTCCTAGATCTTATTCCTACAATAAAAATGAAGCAGGTGAATTTGAGAACCAAGAAATTAGATTGGTAAACAAACAAGATTTTGACATGGAAATATCAGCCAGTTTCAAAGAATCATATTTGACATGTCCTTCTTGATATATACAAATTATCCTATTATAGCAAGCAAGTCTTGAACACATAACTGACAACACCAGAATGTGTCTATTACCCTTGTCAGTGGTATCTATGTCATTCTGTCTTCCCCCACGTATTCTCCAGAACCTGGACCTGTGGTGCCTGTCTTTATGTCTAGTCGGCTGGTTTCTATGTCTAATCCTGTGTAGAGCCTTGTAGTAGGAGGAATAGACAGGAAAGCGAGAGAGGTGATTGGAGAGAGATTCAGCTGAAAGAGTAGAGGACAGAGTTGAACATTAGGAAAAAGAATGAGAAGACAGGAGTTTTGAGAGCAAAGTTGAAATTTGTCTTGGATAAAAAAATTTTAAGCTTATCCGCAATACATGTGCCTGCATGTACCAACACAAATGGGCATTCATGCTAAATATTATAACATAACTATGAAACTATGATAATTTTACTCCATCTTTTGTATCTTGTGCATGGTGACACTTAAAGTCACCTCACCTTGCTGAGCAGCAGTTGGAAGTACAGAAGTAAGAACTCCTAAGACAAGCAGCATCCAGCATAATCTAACTTCAGCCTCCATGATTGCAGCAAGCCTGTAAAGACAACACAGTACATCATCAGTATGTGGGTTAACAGGTCTTTCTCATTGTTTGCATACATACAAAATTGTTACTGCCAAAAACTATAACAGATTTGAAAAGCAAACTTGAAAAAGCAAATACATGTACAGTGTACTACATAAACTGTATCAGGGCCAAAGCCATAGACTGTTGAGAACAAGATAGCAATTCCAAGTAGAAGAACTTCTTAACCTCTTTTTCATTAGTAGTCTTGACACATGTAATTTTACCCAAGATTTACATGTCTTCATGCTATCAAGCTTATCATTGGAAAAGTAATGGTACATTTTCATGGTGTATCCAGCCAACACTTAAAGATGAATGACTCTAGGACTGGCATTTTGGACTGAAGTTCACAGAACAAGTGAGATGCCTGTACTCCACATGCTCCTGTTACCCATGCTAATCAGGTGATTTTCTGGGTTAGGAGACCGTGTCTGAGGAATGGGTCACGCTGGATGGTTCCACAGACAGGATTAGTACCAATCTGTTGCAGGCCAACCTGTAATTTGCCTATAGTCTCAGGCAAATTGGCCTCCAAGCATGGAAGTGAGTGTGCCAACAGAGGGAGAACAGCACAGCTGCACAGTACTGTAAATGCACGTACTTTAGCTGCAGTTCTATTTTTGTAGTATCTTCTCGACACAGAATCTTGATGCCACGAATATGTGTTTTGTATTTCTACTCTAATAAAATACTTTGAAAACCTACTTTCCCTCATACTGCAAAATACATTGTAGATAACTACTGCAAAACTAAATGTATTTTATGGTATATGGTACTGTATTACGTGATAGAAAACCTACAATGTATAGCCAAAGTGCCGAGATGTTGGTACCAGTTTGTCAGATTTATGACGGGGTCCTTTATAGAGTTCAGCATTTACATTCCAACTAAAGGAAAATTGATAGGTCTTTATTCTCCTAACAATTTATCAAGAAAAAGCTACCATATTTCATACAATAGACAAGAATAACACAAGAACAGCATTTTTCTGTATTCTTGTACTAATAGCATAAAGATATTGATATACTATACAGAATATTGTCGATTTACCTTGTATAGTTTTCCCTTTAAATAGAGAATCAAAATGTAGCCCCAACTGCATAGTTGACAGAATTCAATATGAGTTATATCAATATCTGTTTCCCGTGTTAGAAAATAATCCCTAAGGCCACACCAACTTGATTTCTTGGTTAACGGATTTTTGAAGAAAAATAATGGAGCGGGCGGGCGAAAAAATAAAAAATAAAAACAGGCCTAGGCATCCTATTATGGCCCAAAATGGTAAGATAGGAGCCATGAAGTCAACATACCATGCTGGTTCAAAATTTAAACAATGAATTTTTAACCTTTAATGATACCACTGCATTGAAAGATGGAATAACTGTAACAACTAGGAATAAAAGGACTGTTTTCAACTGTTCAGGGCAAAATATGAGCATTTTGCAGTTGATTCTGAATTTTTATTTTTATTTGCAAATCAGAAAAAAATGAAGCGGGCGAATCCGTTAACCAAGAAATTAAATTGGTGTGGCCTAATCAAGAAATATTCTGAACATGTCTGCTCCAATTTGTCTCAGTAAGAATGAAACTGTATGCGTCAGTGCTATCTCAGTCAGTCATATCAATGGAGAACCAATTAACAACAGAACTGTAATTGAGTAGCACAGATGGTCACTAGGGTCCATTTGGAAACAGAAGCCATTTTTCATCTCTTATCAAGCTAATTGGTAAATTAACCCCAAACAGTGGAAATGCATAATAAGCATAAGCAACAGTAATGATTACTACTAACTTCAATTTTCAACTTAGAAACATTGTATATAGAGTTTACTATTCCTTTGAATGCATTAACTCCCTGCAGTGGTATATACCCAGTTGTCCATGGTTTAGGAGGTAAGAATTATGAGATGTGTATCAAATTAAACCCATGACCACATGAAATCACAACTCAAATGGATTATCGATTTTGTCATCCGGTGGCCAAACATGATAGATATTACACACACGGTAACATGCTGACCCACTTCACAGGCAGGGAACACGACTTGTCCATTTATGATATGAGCAATTTCATCACTTAACCATACGGTAGACTGTCACCTGGCACAGGCTAGGGAACAACGAACCTGGTACCCGGAAAATTGGAGAACTGGGTTACAAGACCTAGGGAAAAAAATGTGCAAAAAACAGTGCAAAAAAGAAAGTCAGATAAAAAAGCCTAAAAATAGGCCAAATATAAGCCAAAACCCAAACCTCTGCTTGGATAGTAACTCCACATAATCAAAGCACAGTGAAGATACGTTTTTGTAAGTCTACTGTACTGCAGAAAAAAAACCATATTCAATCCTAGTGCTAGATAAAACAGCTGCATAAGTATTAGTACCTTGTTCTATGGATGGATGCACTCTAGATTTGGCAGATGTGAACAGTGAACAATACCCTATCAATACTGTCTATTAATTGATTGATGCCATTCATTGCATTGATGTCCTATTCATGATATTTTCTCGAATCTGAGCATAGAGTTTTATTATTCTTTTGTGTGTTGTACCACAACAAAGGCTCATGCTTCAATGGTGTGGTTGATGAGCTGATCACAGCACATCAACAACTGGTATCAGCACTTTCTACTCCCCAAAGTCCCTCCTCCTGGTCTATGATTATTTCCCCATGTCAGAAATAAATTACATTTACCCAACCTAAAGCCCAAACTCTCAAGAGAGACTTGATGTGGTAAATTCAATCTCATTCTTTCACTGGTGTAAAATTTCGGGAATATCAAGTACTATCTCTGTGATTATGGTAATTGTGATAGAAAATGATATGAGATTGTTATAAATATATCTAAGTACATTGTATGATGCTAGGGTCATATTTCCAGACTTTGGCTCGGTTTGCATGAATAGAAAATAAACAACTCATATAAAATATATGCAAATTGTGATGAATTTTTCTAGTTTTTTGTCTTTTGTTGTCATTTTTGTTCCTGCCGGGCCGGGCCCTGGGTTGAGAATTGTGACTGTAGCATTACCAGTGTCATATATGATGAAGAAAGCCGACAAGCTTACCTCAAAGCTGTGCATCATAACCACTTATCCACAGAGCAAGTCAATACTGAGCGCCACATTATAAACATACTGTTGACAAGGTAGCCTTTATAATCCAACTGCCTGAGTCATCCTACACCTGTTCACCAGACAATGTGAGATGATTCAGACTCCAGAAGGTGCCATGGTAAATGAAAGATTAATGAGCTCAGCTGTCTCTAATCAACACGAATCATGCAAGCATCTGAGAATCATGTGATAAACAGACAAAAATCTGTTTTATTCACCTTTCCAAATTTCTGTTGCAGATGGGGAAAATAATTGATGAACTTCATGGATTTCGTTCTGTGCATTTTGAAATAAAAAGTTTAAAGTTTATCATCATACCATCCTATAACTTGAACAGAATTTCAACTCAATAAGATAACCGATTAATCTAATGTTATAACATATCTCCAAAGAACACATTTGTTACCGCATATGTCAATTATTCCCATGATCATCATTCACTGCAAGTTTCTTCATCAATTTTCACATGCACAGAAAGGAAAACATCTACAAGTAGAGAATACACATCTCTGAATCCAAGGTTTACATCACTTGTATTGCCCTACATAACCTATAGATGCTATGAATAATTCATCAGCTACAGCTTGTGTTGGAGAGTACCACCAGTAGCACACCATGACAGACAGACCTGGACTCAGCTGGCTAATGGTTGCTGGCCTTTCTATTACATTTCATGATGAAGTGTCCTGGATAATTCCACTGCACTGCCCAACATGGCCTTACCAGGTCAATGTACAACAGTTTGCAGCCAACATCTGCTTTGTCAAATACAGAAGTTTTCCCTTCAATATTTTCCTAAGCTGCTCTACCATATATGTGCATTGTTGGAAGAGAACATTTTCCTTTCTCATGTAAAGGGTCATAATAACTTGCTGCTTGAATGAAAGAATGCAAACCGTTATAACTTTTGTCAGAGTTTTGCTGTCTTTTATTTGCTCTTTTTCTATTGAAATATACTTCCTTTGCAAAGATTAGGGCAGTTTTAATTAGTAGTCTATTGATATAACCAGACAGATGTGCTTCTATTGTATATTATAGGCACTTTTGTCAGACAAATGCATTAACTCCCAGGTGTACCATCGAAGCAACATCCAGACCGCATAACCTAATTATATTTTTTCCATCAATTCTTCAGGATTGAGTAATTTCAGAATTCAATCAACCCTACTTGATAAACATGAAATATCCATCGAAACATAAAGTTGTACACACAAGCAACTTTTGACAATGTTGAATGTATTTTTTATGTTATTGGTTGTTTCATACCATTAGAATGCCAATGATGCCTGCCACGGAAATTGAGCAATTTTGTCAAATTGGTAGTAGACTGAATTGTTTGTCTCTAGCTGATGGATGGCATATTTCGGTATTATCCCAGATTCATATACTATCAACTATAGGAAGCCAATATGAAAACTGTTCTTTTTTTTATCCTAACTTCATTCACATTATGTAGCATAGACTGTCAGCATAGGTTAGAGCAGTGACATAAATGCTAGATGCCACAGTTGGGTCTGTATCTAGATGAAAATATATGACAGGAATTAAGGGCAGTCCTCTGGGTATCATTTTGGGGGCAAGTTAATTTGTAGGTGGTAAATTGTCCAGTAATAAAGCTTTCAGCAGACTGTATGTCAACAGATTAACAGGTCATGTCCACACACAGGAAAGAGCAACGCACACTGTACTATGGAAATACTTTGATAACCGTTTTATTGTCTGGAAGCTGTGACTAAAGATATTCTTAAAATGCATTGAATATGCCAAAATTTGGTAACATGATCATGATAGTTGGGTATTATACCCTCAGACATTTGAAAACTGGTTGAAATGGGGGTCAGGCATCATTCGGAAGAGTTGTGGACCATTATTTTTTACCTCCTTTGGATGAATAAAACTGCATGATAATGCATAAAAATATAGATTCCGGTCATTACATGCTGATGATATCAGAATACAAAGCAGTGATAAACATTGTTAACAAAATAAATTAAGCAATTTTAAAAGTTTTAACTTTAAACAAGTGACTACCAATGCAGATGAACTTTCATGAAATTCTGCAGTTCTTCAATTTTTTTTCCTACTGCTATAGTACTAGACTGTGTTTCTTTTTTATGGGGTCAAGTTGTGAACCTTTGTTATCTTGCTAATGACCTGCCACACCCATGTTTGCACAAGAAATCCTCCCTACAACCATAATGTCTTCTTAATGTGCTGGCTGTGTGCAATTAGATCAGCACTTATAATGTGGAAATAATGGCTGACTGTTTTATGACTTGTTTAGCCACAGGACTCCTGGTTCAGCCCTAGGAGATCTCTCTGGGCCTGCAAATATGCCATTTGTTCCGCCCCATTCAGGATGTGCAGGCAGGGGTGAAAAGGGATGACCTAGTTCTTGGGCCATGCCAGGAGTTCATAGGAAGGACAGAACGTCGGCACACTTTGAACCTGGATAGATACTGTGGAGGAATCTAGAGCTAAACATTTCAGGTTGTTGCTGAATTTACCACATCAGTAAGAAACTGAAGTAGGCTGATGAGCTGGTAATTATATAAGTTAGAAAAGATGATTGTCTATCACTCTATGGTGCCTTTATACAAAATGAAATTTAATGTTAAGTCTACTACACCTTGTATGAAGAATTTATAATCATGAGTTTTATAAAGTCCTAACCTTTGGTGTTGATGTTGCCTTTTATGATATGGTGACTGTTAAAGTGATATGTTCATTAGACTTACTGGAGCTTGACATCCTAATGATAAGATTTTCTTGGTTCTGATTATAAAAAGGTATCATATTACATACATGTATTATACAATGTTCAGAAAAAAAGGATGGTATATTTTAGGATTGCTTATACCAGTAAATAGCTTTTACAAACAGCCATTAACATTAAGTACATGTTTGAATACAAGGCTCAACAGTTGTAAAGAAAATAGATATCAGTTCCCTAAATCAACATGTCATACAATAGTGGTTAAATGCTACTGAGGGCCAAAATAAACTGTTTTTAACATAGCCAGCAAAGTGCATTTCAGGTACAATGTAATCTAGAATATCGCACCATGACTAGAGATATCCCTTATATATCATTAGTGAAAACAAAAACATGAATAGCTTATTTGAATGATTAGTGAAATATGAAAAATGTAACAGAAAACACAGCCATATTTTTTTCTATCATATTGGCAAATAAACAACCTTTCAAGTAAAACAATTAAACAGGAACAACTAAATTACTGACATAGGGCTTTCTAGTAACAAAATGACATCTGCAAGCGATGAATTGCCAGGTTACTATCAATTAGTAGCTACCGAGAACTCCAAATCATGTTGTTGATAACTGAACTGAGATAATTGTAGAAGAAAGGAATACAAGAAAGGTACTGAAAAAAAATGTTCACTTACCTGGGAATGTTATCCAGATGGCACTCTGAAAGTTTGGTCCAGAAGCTTGGGGTAGTGTGTGCGGTAAGTTCTTGGCTTTTTTCTGGCACTGGATTTTGTAGCCTCCCCTCTCCTATGCTTGGTTAAAAGCTATTCACTAGGATGACTGTGGCACATCCTGGATAGATAAAAAGAAGTAAAAAGCATGCAAATTAGCATCTGATTGCTGAGCAATTTTAATGGTTAATCTGTAAAGAAAAGTACAACCTTCTTAAGGGAAAGGAATTACGCTTGGTGAGTTTTCTAACATTTGCACTACCAGTACCCAGATGATTGGTCCCTTCTAGTGCAGTTTAAGGTCAGCTGAACAAAAGGACCACAGCCTTCAAAGCCTGCCCCACCCTTTTACCCTCTGTCATTCAACTCTAACCTACAAGGACAGAAAATTAAATTCAGCATGAACACAACTGTAAGGACTGAGTTCCCATACCACACGGGAATGTGTCCCCCAGGTTTCACCCTCTCAATTCAGCCATGGAAGGTCTCCATGTTTCATGTCCGCACAGATGCTTTGTCATGCAAATGTTGCTGCTATTGTTCTGCGACAAAGAGCTTATATGCGTACTTAATAATAACCTGGACCTGATCTATATAGATTGTCATTGTAGGGGTAGGCAGTCATGCAGAACGACAACAGGCTGGGAAAACAAACACACCAGGACAGTGTACAGAAAATCAAGTCAGCGTAAAGTAAGCGTCTGCTTCTGCAGCTTACACAGACCAGACAGAAAGGATCACCCAAGGAAGAAACCCTACCGAAGATAAATGCTCCCTGCTACAAGGCCTTTGACCTGTCCTTTCTCTGCGGAAAACAGAACTTTTGTTTGGACAAGCGTTGTTGCTTTTTGAGCCCAAAAGGCAGTCGTTTTAAAGTATAGGGTTGATGTTTGCATAACCGTGTAATTGGAGCTCCACCACAGTCCTGGGTCATATGAGCTGTATAGGAGGAGGGTATACCTTGCACCATATAGTCTTCATTTTTCAACATATACAGTGCAAAGAAATGCTGTATTGTAGCAAGAATTTGTTGCATATGACTTTTATGAGTGACAGTCTTACTACATATATTCCTTCAAACAAGGTTCAACAGTAAAGCATAGTAGAAGAAGAAAAAGAAGGAAGTATAGCAGATATAGCACAATAAAGGCTGGTTGACACATGTTATCGGCTTGTTGCATTGAGAATGAATCATAAAATGTACTTTCAAAGATCAGCTCAAATATCATACTTTTTTATTAATACACATTGAGCAATTTTAGAACTAAAATTGCTGGGGTACTTTTTCTACTTCCTCTCATGGTCTCCCTGTATTGCAACTGGCAATTTTTTTGTCAGTATCTAAAGATAGATATTTAGGCAACACATTGACAGAGTATCCATATCATATGACGTGACAGAAACCATGGTTCAGGCGGATTCTTGCCATTCCAAACTCTGGCTTCTCTTTTGTGCTCCAGGGTTCCTTTATGTTCCAGGGTCAAAAGAAATCTTTTGTGTATGAAAACTATGATCTTTGAATTGACTCTTGTTCACTTCAGACTCATTTCTTATTTTGTATATAGATTGTTTACATGATTTCTTATAATTTATATATTCATAACAGTAGACTTGGCTAGTTGAGTGGGAGATAGCACATAGTATTTCCACAATTCATAGGTGTAAGCACCTTTCTGTAATATGGAAATATGTAATATAGCTGGATAAATAGTTCAAAGATGTTGTGTGTATTATTATTTTTTATTACATAATGTTCGTCCAGGATGTCTAACCTTTATCGACATAACTTTTGTTTTCTTGTACAAATTTACTTGATGGAATGTGGAGAGGTCAAAGTTCACAAAAGCTCCTAATTCACAGAAAGGTCCTCCTATCCACTCAAGTGGGAAAAATTGATTTTTCGTACACTTATATATGGCTGGAAATATGCAGATCAATAAGAGGGTGAGGCAAACCGGATGGTACATTGTTATACTAGGACTGTTGAGTACAACAACACTTTGTTGCTTGGTTGTTGTTTTCTTCTTAAAGATTACATAAATTTGTATTATCACGTTTGTACATTATCTCCATTGACAATGTGTAAGATTTTTACTTAGAAAATAAAATGCCATCAAGATTTGTGCTATTATAGCTATCTATTCTTTCTATTCAATTTTTGTTTAAACAAATCATAGATGATATGGAAAAGCTAATTGAATTCTTACATCTTTTTATGGGAGCTATGGGATCATTAAGTTGAAAGTTAATTTCTGTGTAACATCTAACCATAATACCGTCAAATTAAAAAAAACAAGATATGGATTTAAAGAGATCATCTAATGCAGAATCAGTAATTTCTGAGGTATGTGCACTTAATATAATATGATATATCCAGGTGTTCAAGGCATTCTTGATAGAAAGGATGTCAATAACCATGTATTCTACAATGTATTTTACGATGACAAGGACAACATTTAAGTATTATGCTCTCTTGTCAGGACAGGCAAGAGCATTGTGGGAAGGGCATACTACGACTGGCCACAAATGAAAAGGCAGTCTATAACATGGACAGTAACTGGGAAAACATTATGGGTTGCTCCTTCCCTAAACTGGTATCACTTGTAAAATTGTCATAAACATGGTGGCATCATGTGAGTAGATGTTAGTTTTTGCCTTCAAGGTTACAGGTGGGAATTTCACACCCTGACAAACTTTACCTGAGCATACGGGAAGTTCACCTGCATTACACAGGTCCTACTGTGTACCTACCAGCCTCTGTACGTGACAGATCGGTTTACTTCATGCTTCAAACATGTGCAAACAGTGGTAGGTACTACTCAGTGCCCTAATATACTGCGACAGATGTTTACCAAGTGGGTGTGTTGAGAGTACTAAGGTGGCACTGGTCATCAGCCAAGCAAACAGCTTAACAAGCTCTGACGTGTAAAAGATGTTTGAAAAAAACCTACGTACAAGATATAGATGATGCAAGATATTTGGATAGGTAGATATGGAGAAAGTCGTGGATGTTTTTCTTTTTCAGCAAATTTGTACCCGCTGTTATCTTTCAAATACATGTGAGAGCAATGTTTGCTCTGCAAGCATTTTACTACCTTTTCAACAACAGGTAATTGTTCAGTTTATGTGATAAGCAAATAGTAAAGTTAGCATTTCCTGACTGGTGGGAACATGTAACATATGGGTGTCTGTGTCACATTGAAATAACACCTTACACACTGTTACATTCAACATATTTCAATAGAGAATATAATGCTTTTAGTCTTTGTGCAGCCATAGAAATTTTTTGCCAGGAAAGGGCTTAATTCTTTTTTACGAAATCAAACTGAAAATACATGATGTACCAGGTATCAGAATTTAAGGGAGTGCTTATACACATGTACATGCCTTTCTTTATTTGTAGTCTTTTCAACATGCATCGCTTTCTTCAAGTAATCTCAGAGTTGAACCATTTTACATCACTACCAACAGCCTGAATCATTATCGACTACCTGTGCTGGCCATAACAGCTTTCTGTTCCAGCAATTTCTTTTCTGATGCATCTCAGTAATTTTGTAAGAATATGGTACATGACTTCATTTGGAGCTCTCATCAGGGAAACTACTAGGGAATGATGTTACACTGGTCACACCTGGAGGCATCAATTTCACAGGTGACACTACTTGTGGACCCTGTTCCATCTCACTCACTCCATAATGAAGAGGAAATCTTGCTTGGAAAATTGATTGGAAGTGTTTGGGAGGTAGGGACTATGCAGAATCAATTAAATACCTTAAACAGACCTTGTGGTCTTTTAGAGTCTGACAAAATTGTGTGTTTATGAGCAAGAGTATTGTCTGTTATACTTTGCAGATACCTCAAGTTTCCATTGGCAGACTTAAGAGGAATGCCACTCCAAACACAGCTATGAAGCAAATTTGAGTGCAATGTCATGTTGTGGACACCAAGTAGCACGAGCTAAATATAGACTTAAATGAACGACTGTTAAGGAATGCTGGGTTCAGATGACATCAGGTACATCAATAGACCACTGTGGGAATAAGTTAACACAATTAACCTTCTCCCTGCAGACTAACCATTTAACAAATACAAACAGGACAATAGTAAGACTATAACTTTTGTACTTGATGCTCAATTTACAATATTTATCATTGCATTCTGAAACAGGTTTGAACTGTACGTAATCTCCAACACAAAAAATCAAACTTACCAAATTTTGACAGTCTTTGATAAAGGCTACAGTTGAACAGTACAAAAATTTGATTAAGCCCAATTTCCGTGTTGGAAATTACAGTTCAAACCTGTTTTAGAATGACTTCTACCAACACAAATGAACAGTCAAGATATTACTGTTGTGTTGTTGTTGTGAATGTATAATTTTTCCTATTACAAAACAAACTTAGACTTCTAAAATACCTCAGAAAGACCTGCATCTGCTTGGAGATTAGCTAACACCACGAAAACAGGTGTTAGCAGGGTTGGAGCTCCTGTGGGCCCATTAGGTACATGGGTGTGGTCTTGTACACACCAAGCTTATTAACCTGTAACCATGACTGCTAATTGTCAATTTACAAAGATAACCTTACCACCTATGACCTCAGGCAAACACCCACATTTTACATAGCACAAATTTTCAGAAATACAGAAGAGGGAAGGAATGTTCACTTGTTGACATGTCTGGGTGTGGTCTTTCGGAGCAAAGACATATCCTTCCTTCTAAGAAGTTCAAGTGTAAAGGAAATTAAATATATACATTCATTTCTAAATACAAAACATAATGTTTAAAATAAAAAATTCAAAATTGGGTGAGGTTCAGTTTGTAGATATTCATTTTAAGAAATGAAAATCATATCCTTGTTAATTTCATTGTGTAGTTCAGCAGAATTATCAAATTATACTTATTATATTTATAGTCAAATTATTAAAATAAATGTTTGCTTCCCTATTCGTATGATTTTAACTAATTGCAGCAATGTTGTATTCCATACTAAAATAATGCTGCAGTCGCACAAACATGTTAACGTTTTGTCAGCCAATTCCCTTGGGAAAACACTCACCAATACCAATTAAGGTGCACATTGCTGCACCATGGCCCCAGAAAATTGCTCCACTCTTGGCGACTCTCCTCAATAATAATGTCTCTCTCACGTTCTTTCAACTCACCATTAGAAGAATTCCCACTGCTCTTATGGAAAGGTGGGCTTTGTTTATCAGAGTCACTCTGGGGTGTTTGTTCTGTTACAAAAGTAAGGGAAGAGAAAAGGAAAGAATCCGTGTCTAAGTCTTGTATTTAAGGGGCCGTGGGACCGTAACGCTACAGTAACGAGCTACGGTGCCTGGCGGTATCTGGTTACAGTACCGCTCACCTGGACACACGGGCAGGGACAAATTATACTAGGTGTGCACCATAGATATTAGTGGAAAAATACCTTTATAGGTCTTATATTCATAGTTATTGGCAGAGGTATTACTTTAAAACGTATATGTATACGTATGAGGCGGTACACCTTTCCATACTGAGATAGTGAGAAAGACAAGGAAATTTGTGAGAAAATAAATTGGACTTGGGCATCGAAAACGGAAACTCCAGCCGTTTGACTACAACTGTGACACTATCTATATATTCTATACTTCTTGCTAGCATGTGGTGTACTTCACCATCTAAAACAAAATACCCACCTGTGTCCAGGACCGCTGGGATCCGGTCTCCCACCAGGACCAATTTTTGTCACGCCTTCACTCTGGGAGATAGCAGTCCAAGACCAAAGGAATACCGCCTTCTGTTGTTGGACTCAGGCCCCCAGCTCGCTGAAGGGTTTAATACCGTTCTCCAATCGAGGCCAAGTTCACAATTAGTTACACTTGAGGAACGGTGAAACTGCCCGAACTAGACAGCGAAAGACCGGCTGATATTTTTAATTTTCAGACCCAGAGCACGTTCGCGTGGTGGCGGGGCACTGGGACCTGGCCTCCCGACTGCATGCCACAACACTCCCGTAACCGCAAACACCACACAAACCCACGTAATCTGAAGAAACTGTGGAATTTCTACACGCAAGCTTCTCCCAACCGTCTCTTAGTTGCTCTTGTCGTTTCCGGTTGGGCTCCTGTGCTGATGATCACGCCCAAAAGGACAGAAAAGCCATTGAAACCCCAGCCTCACGGACAGCCACAACAACAAGCTCGAGTGGTCCCGCTATTGTAATCACGCCTTGAAAAGTTCGCGGAACGGGCGCTGATTGGCTAGCTGCACGCTGGGCGAATTCAAAGTTTTGGCGGGGGTGAAATTGATTGTTGCAACATTGTTGTTGTTATACCCGCGCTAAAATTTGTTTATCATAATTTGTGGTGGTGAAAGTGAAAATGTACTGTGCACCATGGTCGATGAATACTGTGAATCAAGGATTTTCGATAACTTTATCGATTGCAATGAAGTTGCATGTGAGAGTTCTAAACTATTATTATAAACCTCCTTGTTCCAAGGAGGTTCAAGCTCCTTGCTCTATAAAAGAAAACTTTGTAAACATCTTGTTTGTTGTCCTATTAGGTTTCTCTATAAATGCTTCTGTCTTTTGATCTGTACTGAAGGGATGAAACTGTTTGTTTTGTTTTGTTTGTAGACAGACAAGTGGATCTCAAGCAAAATAGCAAGCAACGCAGAACCTTTCTGTTAGTTACAGCACCACGGGCTTGTTTGTACTTTGTGGGCTAAATTTGCAGGTCTATTTAGGAAAAACAATGTGTGTTGTTACACATTCATAGACAACGTAGAAGGGATAACGGGTAAGAAAGAGTTGCTCCTGTGTTCCTGTCGTCTAATTTGTCTTCATTGTTATTTTATTTAAAGTCAACAAGTTAAATCACATTTCTTTAACTTTTATTTCATTTTCATATACTTTGTTGTAAGGTTATCCACTGATGGGACGTCCCAAATGGGAATTATACCCATGAGCCATTGCGAATTCAAAATGGCCGCCGCCATCTGAAAACATGAACTTTGCCCTAAAACTTCAATATTTCTGCAATAAACCTGCCTTGTTTTGTTGTTTGCTAAAGAGAGGAGGATCCAGAGAAATACTTGTGAGAAGTATGAGCACAACAGGGAAGCCAAATGTGTATGTGACCCGCAAGATACCTCAGAAAGCGTTGGACTTGCTGCAGGGAGAGTGAGTTCTTGTGTTATGATAATTCTTACATTCGAATCAACATAACATAATTTGTCCTCATAATTGAAGATACGTCCAATGTGTTCTGCTGTTGCCAACGATTCTCCGAGTCAGATTTGGCCATTTTTGGGTGTATTCATGTGGGAAAAGGGATTTGTGTTGATTGTAAGCACATGTGACGAATTCCAGAGTCCAGCATAGAGAATCAATTATCCCCGCTAATTTGCCGGCACGCCCCCTTCATAACGGTACCATTTATCATCTAAAACAAACATTGCAGATGCCTGTCAGACCTGCGTCTTAGACTATGTATTCCTCATAAAACTACATATTGCATGGTTTGAAGAATAACGCATTAAATAATTATGGAAGAGCTTTACACTACAGCACTGATACCTGAGCTACTAGTAGCAGCAAGGAGACTCTTCAAACTAATTGGTAGGAAAAAAAACACTGTGTTTTTATTCCAGATAACACTGGTCACGCAAAATTGGTGACTCCAGAAATTTGGAATAGCTCATAAATTTTAATCTTCCAACTTTCAAGGTAAATTTTTACATATCACATTGGAGGCTGGAACTGATTTCTGATTTCTTGTTCCAGATGTAATGTGTCCCAGTGGGCTGCTGATGACCCTGTACCCAGGGTAGAACTGCTGAAGGGAGTGAAGGGAGTAGATGGGCTGTACTGTCTGCTGACAGATAAGATTGATGCAGAGGTGCTGGATGCAGCAGGTGAGTCAGTCCTGTACTTTCATTCCTGATTTTTTAAAAGGTACTTTAAAAAGGTAATTAATGTATCTGTTTATTTCGCATAAGACACTGGCTGTATACTGGCTGAGAGAGAGAGAGAGAGAGAGAGAGAGAGAGAGAGACTGAAAAATAAAGTGAAGTAAAGTAACTCAAAACATTCAATGCACATAAGATAATCAAACATGTGATAAGAATTCTGTTCTTATAATCTACTTTGTGTTTGATACAATCTTAGTCTTACTATGTGTTTGTCAGGACCAGGACTGAAGGTAGTCAGTACCATGTCTGTGGGATACGACCACGTTTCACTACCAGAACTCAGGAAACGGTAAGTCTTCATCTTAAGTCTGGTTCACATTTCACATTTAGGTATAGTCAATACTGTAAATTAACGGAGATCTAAGTGCTAACCTAAAACATATTTTTCAGGAAGCTTCCACTAGGCTATACTCCAGATGTTTTAACAGATGCAACAGTAAGTACAGACTGTACTCTAAAACTTGAATCTCTCTCTAAATTCTCCCCTATTCTTCAGTAACACAGAATACACTTCGTATCTCTGACAATGGGCATTTATCACTTAGTGTGTAGACTTGAAGACTACTACATGTAATTTAAAAGTATTTCTGCTTGAAGAATCATTATTGATCATGTGTTATACATATGTGTGTTGTAATATTCTGTCCCAGGCAGAGCTGACTGTTGCCTTGCTCCTCACCACAAGTAGGAGACTGGTAGAGGGAGTCCATGAGGTCAAAAGGTCAAATTTCTACTGTTTTAGCTGTTCTTTTTAAGATTTGGGAAAATACTGGGAACTTACAAAATCCCATTGTTATGAGAAAATCTTTACTGTCATTTTCATGCAATAAAGAACCTTCTTATACAGATTTTTCTTGTTAAGTAGATCTATACATATTTCTTTGTTTTTCATCCTTTTAGTGGAGGATGGGGCACATGGATCCCCCTGTGGATGTGTGGTTCAGGACTATCTGGCAGTACAGTAGGGATTGTAGGTCTGGGCAGGATAGGTCAGTACCAATGGTCTTATTGATGTCTTTCATCAATCCTTTGTTTTCTAATGTGAGTTTCTGCATTTACAGTACTTTCAGGCAGACATGCAATACTAGTAGGTAATGATAGAAATAACATTGTATTACTTCTTAGTATTAGTAGTCACCATACCTGTAGCATTATACAAATTATCTTTATAAAGTTCTTTGTCCTGACCTATAACAGGTGCTGCAGTAGCTGAAAGACTGAAACCATTTGGAGTGTCACGGTTTCTGTACCATGGCAGGAACCCCAAACCAGAGGCAGCTGGCAGGGTTGGAGCTGAGTTTGGTCAGTGCTGCTGGGATTGATTCAACCACAGAAAATTAATTGGATTCATCAAATATACAAGAAATATTTTTGATTCAGTTCATTTTGGTTCTAGCATGTAGGGAATTATTTACAGTTCTGTTGTATGTTGATTATCAGTGATATTTGAAACTTCCTTCAACAATCAGGTTGAAATATATGAGGTTTAAAGTTTAAAGTGGCAGAGTGTTTGTTTTGCATTCAGTAGGTCATGAGTTAATTTGATCCCCTGCTGAGTCATACCAAAGACTTAAGAAATGGTACATTCTACTTTCTCTGGTTAGCACTCAGAATTTGGGAACACACATTGGATTATACCCTTGCTGTAGTGATTGCACAACTGTGTGGCCCAGGGGCTATTGAACCGGAGATGGGAACTGCCCTGTGCACCATCTGATGTGGGAAAGACTTAAACTATACTAACTAGTGTTACATGTACTTTGTTTGTGGATACATGATGTATGTTGTGTTTACAGTTGGACTTGATGAACTGTTGTCAGAGTCTGACTTTGTGATTGCCACCTGTGCCCTCACACCTGAGACCAAGGAGATGTTCAACAAGACTGTCTTCAGCAGGATGAAGTCTTCTGCCATCTTCATCAACACAAGCAGGTAAAGTGGTCATCAACTTTCATGCTTCATCTTCATAAATGCAATCAAATATGTACTTGTCACTCGAAAGAGTATGTTACTGTACATTCCAAGTTGTTGCAGAATGCTAAGTTTCACATAGCATTTAAGAGACACATTTGACTGTAAAGATTTTTCAGATTTCTGATGTGGGGAAGAAATTATGGCTATTGAGGAGTTAACTTACCAGAAGTTGCATCTACACTACTCATAGTATAAGATATATCTAGTTTCTGGCGAGTACATGTATTACAATCTAGCCAATGGCCCTACATTGGAGTAGCAGCAGTCAGAACTGTCAGATAGAAGAGACATCTAGTGAGTAGAACTAGTACTGCAAGCTAGCAAATGTTTCCCTGAGATTTCAGTTTTGTACAACTGAGTCTTACCCATAAGGCACATTTTGAACAAGAATGAAATAGAATAAAACAACATATTGCCATTCATTTTCCTAGAAAACTGTTAACCTTGTCTGAAGGTCTTCATGTCTTTTTCTGGGAGGCAACTTGGGTGGGTTGAAAATTCCTACTACATGTATTTACAACCCACCCAAGAGATCTGATGGAGACTTGTACATGTGTGTTTGTGCTTACAGAGGAGGTGTTGTACACCAGGAGGACCTGTATGAAGCCCTGAAGAGTGGAACCATCAAGGCAGCAGGACTGGACGTCACCACACCAGAACCGCTACCTACTGACCACCCGCTCCTAACCCTGGACAACTGTGGTAGGTTCTTGCTACCTTCGGCTTGAAGGTTGTGGTTTTGAAGGGGTTGATTTTTAACGTCCTTGGTTTGACTAATTGAAAAGGTAATCTTCCACAGGTCGTGATGAGATTCTGTGTAATATCTACATGTAGATCACTACTCTTGTTGAAAAGCAAGCTGCATTTATAATGGTGCATGCTAGATGTCTCCCCATAACAGTTGTAATTTGTTCAACCAGTTCCCTTTTAGATTTGTATATTTTTGACTCCAAATCAATTTGAGTATGTAACACTGCAGTGTACCTAGATAAGTTTTACTGGAATGAATTGTAATATAAAATTTAGGAATGTATTTTTGTAAACCTTCTTATGTTTCAACCAGGGGTTTACACATCCAATGTTCCGGTGAACTTCTTAGCTTTAGGGCAACAACCAGTGAAAAAAATGCTGTCCCATTGCAGAATGCTGTCCAATAATGTATACATATTCAGTAATCCTTAGAGTCTATGTCCCCTTCATCATGGTTCATGACAGGAGTGTAATCACAGTTTGTTCTGTTCTCCTTTAGTCGTCCTGCCACACATTGGCAGTGCTACAGTAGAGACGAGGACAGAGATGGCAGTCTTGGCTGCACGGAACCTACTGGCTGGACTTAAGGGAGAGAAGATGCCGGCACAGGTTCAACTTTGACCCAGAAACAGCATCGTAAAATGTCAGATGTCGTATCTTTGTGGTAAATTATGTCCAAATCAAAATATGGTGTAGATACTAATTTGTTGGTGCATGCTTAACTTAATCATGGTTAAAAATGCTGTATCTGAATTATTTATGATCATGAAAATCTACATAAATGACAAAAGTATGTTGAAGGCAGCACAACTTTATTTTATTATATGGAGGCAATGTAATGGTCTTGTAAAAGGTACTGAAACAATTTGTAAAAGTAGCATTTTCAAAAATGTTTGCTCCCTAAGAAATCTTGAATTGCATGGAAAAAAGGTTAAGGTTGCAAGGATACAACAGAGACCATGCAAATGTCTACTTTATTAAGATTAAAGCACAAGTGATCAAACAATTTATTTTGCTGGTCTTCCCTTTGTACACCCATTATTAATTTATACAATGTACCCATCAGGGCCACATAAGTACATGTCTTACAAGTCATTTTCCAAATGTCAGGGCACGATGTAGGTCAGCTTGTTTCTGAAGGTACAGTCAGTCATGCACACATGCTGTATATGCCATTTGAAAGAGCCTGGCTTTCTCTATATTAATTTTTGGTTCTTGGATTCACGTACCGGCTTCATTTTGTTCTGATTTGAAACAAAAATATTCAAGTTCTGAATCAACTCCCAAATGGTCCTATTTTGGCCCCAACAGTTGTTACACTGTTTTTTTATTCAATCAATGCAGTGGCTCAATGAAGAGTTCAAGAATTATTGTTTGAATCATAAGCTAGCCTAGTATATTGACTCATAAGATAGCACTTGAGACGATCACAGGTTTCCTGCCTTCTTTATATTGATTTTCTGGAAACATCTGAGAACCAACGGGTTAACTTAATACGGCCTTACGTGCCAACACCAGGTTCTTTTCTATTAGAGACATTTCACTTGAAAAATCTATTAGAGATTCCAATTTTCTAGGGTCTCTCCAAGTTTCAAGTGACCAGCATTAGCCCTATAATTCCTAGCCACTCCAATATTTAGATAGACGGCTCTTGGAGAATGGATGATGTACTATTTCCTCTTGAGCACCAGCAGGAAATTGGGTTCATGCACGCCTGGTAGGATTAATGTGTTAGATCAATAGGTTAGTCTGGAAGTGAAGCTGCTTACAAATGCCAAGAGATCTATCTAGATATGAGTGATTTATGTTGGAGATATCTTTAAAAGGAAAGCTCTAGTCTCAAGTTACAGTCTTGAAATAAAATAGGGTCAATAGTTAGGGATTTTTTAAATATCTTCTGATGTGCTGTTCCAACAAATGCAGTTCGACAAAAGTAAACTGAAATGCATCAGGACCCTCCCTCTGTTTGCTTGAGGAAGGGACAGATATTGTGCCCAATATAATTGATAAAAACTTTGCTTTAGAAAATGCATGGAATTGCATTTCAGAGGGTTCGAAATTTAGATGTTGGATCAAATATTTTAAGGCCTTTTCAGCAGTCAAATCAGAAGGTTTTTGCTATGGCAAGTCAGTGAGTGAGTGAGGTCAGGAAACACAACATTTTCCCCTCGGCCTTATGTGGGTACATGTGGATGGGACATAATTATTTGAAGATGAGTGTTGAGTATGTATGACATGAAGCTTGTACTCGACTGTGCATTATTCATGAAATGTTGCTGTCATTTCTAAAACTCAAAGGTGAAGAGGCTACATGTAGTATCCTCTGAAAAAAAAACAGAAGTATGGTATTCTTTTTTGTTAGCTAATAGCGTTATGCTTTGTCACCAAAGGACCTCTGTCTGAGGTAGCCATGCTTTTTATGATCTTAATGGGTTGTACGTTTTTCTTTGACAAAGCAGAAAGCCAGTCTAGGTGTCTAGGACTGTGTGTCAAGAAAGGATATCCAAAAAACAGTACTGTAACAGAAATTTAATACACAAGTTCAAGCATAATGACAGATTGAGGAAATAGATAGGTAGACTCGGAAAAGAAGAATACAACATAGTTTGTCACAGTTTCAACTTTAAAAAATGCATTGTACAAATTCATTGGCACAATAACATGAAGTACTGAAGGTACACAGGACTACAAATAAAGGCATATACAAGAGTCAAAAGGAAAATACATACAGTAGTTTATTTGATGATTGTTGTTACATAATGACCTGTTTTCATCAGGGAAAGTCATATGGCTAGAAATCTTTGATTCATATGACAAGTATTTTTATGTAAACAATGTTAGATGCATTACCATACAGATGGCACACAGTTAGATAAACCAAGGAGGTTATAAAATGTTCAAATTGAAATATTCAACTTGAAAGTAACCTAAATGTACACATTCACAAGGAAGAACAAGTCACAATACTGACATATCTCACAGTTTAAGTACCTTTGGCATAAAAATGGCATCTTACAATTCTTAAAATCCAGCAGCCATCAAACATACTTAAAAGGCAAGTACATGACATTGTTACAAAACTTGCTGGCAAGGACATAAAAACCATCCATAAATGATGTTCTTCAAAATTAAAATATTGGTTTATTAAAAAGACAACACTGACTTAAGTACAGGTAGGATATTCCATGTTAATGTTGATACAACTTTAACAGATGTTTGTGCTAAAAATCCTACGCCTAAATGTATACTGTAATATGTCCAGGACAACATGTCCTATGTTGTTGTATATTAAAACATACACCAAACCTCTTCCTTTCTCTGCTACAACAGAAATTTACTTCTTTTTCTGGTATCCGTTTTTAGCATCAGCTGAGCTAGTAAACTTCCCACTACAAATTTCTATAAAATATTCTGTCCTTGATTGTGAGATGATGCCTTGTTCAGCGGGAAACTTTTTTTTGTCATGTTGCCAAAAGAGAAGTAATCAAGATACATTAGAGCTATTACTATTACTATCATATATTCTATGGAGAAGTAAAGTATCTTCTGGTTTGGCACAGATTTTTCTTCTAAGTCAAATATTTCCACTCAAATTTCTGATTCTGTGATTGATATTTCTAAATGGCACATACAACAGGGAAGTGAATTGTCAAATAATTCTCATCAGACACCAGATGGTGCATCCCATTTGTCTGAGCAATCTTCTCATCGAGGGATTAAATATCGTTTCCAACGGAACCTGTAATTTTCCATTACCATTACCCCAATGTGGCCATGATGGTATCTCACGGCAGTTTGACACTAATGGTATCCCACAGCAGTTTTCAGCCAGAAACCACTTTACAGCAGAGTTACATGGCTCAATGTTAGATTTAAGTATAATTTACCTTCTTATTTCTACAGCTCTGAGCTATTTTACATACACTGCTAAAACCAACTTCAAGCTAGCTTTTCTTAAAGAAAATATATCATCTCCCTCACGCTATAAATACATACATTACTTTACATGTGTTTGTTAATGGTGCAATAAATAAACAGCGGCAATGCATGCTGGGAAGTGTAGTTATGTGGCTGTTAGCAGAGCTTTGAAGTTGTTACGGTAGCAAGTTGCTGCTCTAAAATAAGTTACTTGAGATGTTGTGCCTTTAACCTTCCTCTAACCTTCATTTTCTCTATCCTTCATAAAATAATGATGCCCTGTCCAATTGTCTCCACTACAGAGCAGAGCTGGGAAAGATTATATAATTTTCTGTACAATATCTTCATTACTCTATGATATTTAAGTTGCAGAAAATATTTCTGGCCTTCAGCACTGTACACAAGGATCTTTTGCTGACTCCAAATGAACAGTCGGTCAATTAACCTTCTCGCTGCTGAAGTAGCCATTTGGCACCAAACTTTTAATGGATTCTGATGGGCTTAGTAGGGAGAAGGTTAAAAGCCTTAATTTAAGAGTATATATTGTACTAAGGTCACTTCTACATGAATCAAACATGCATCAGAGTTTAAGGAGACAGCTAAAAACTAGGAAAGAAATACAGAATGGCTCTTCTATGTGCTAGTCCCCCCCCCCCTAATTTGGCCGAAGGGGAAATCTAAAAAGACACAGGAACTGCCCCAGAAGTCTTAAATGTAGGCCTTGAAAGCAAAGAAACAGTTACTCAAGCAACTGGATACATTCTGAAAATGGCCAGATGTTTTAAGTAGCATCCTCTACCTCTCATCAGTGATTGAAAGGTAAAGAATGCTACCTGAAACATTTGACTGTTTTTATGACCTATCCAGGTGCTTGAGTAATACCTTCTTATGTTCTATCTAATTGTTACTTGCTCACTTTCTTCTCTACTTCTTTGGAATAAGTTGTTACACACATCTGCATGAATGTAGGCTGGTTTACCTCATTCGATGGACGGAAATATGAAGTATGGTCTTGGGTTTTTGATTGAAGATCGTATGAATCAGCAAAAGGATATTAATGGGATGATTGGTGTAAACAATCTTTCTGGATTCCAAAAGGAAAACTATACATCATACTTACATACTATTCATTGCAATTTTGGTACTAGTATCATGATAATTCTTCATGTACAATATTTGGGTACACAAAATTGTGGGAGTGATCAACAATTACTGATTCATACTTGTTTTGGGGGAGTGATTCAGTTTAGTTATGTACACATGGTTGGATGTGGGTAAAAACTATAGCTAGCAGAAAAAGGGTAGATACAATATTCATTCTTGAAGAGTTTAAGTTAGTCATTGTACAATCCTCATAATATGGAGTGCATATCCACTTGGCCTGAATTTCATTATCTGCTAAATAATTGTTTTTTCTCACCCATCTCCAGGACCTACATGTAAAACTAGCCACTTTGAATCTAGAAAGGAAATCTTAAGTACTAGAGCTTTTGAGTCAGGTATCATTATAACTCTGAAGTCTGACAGAAATAAGGATACCATGATAAAGAGAGAAGTATGGTCTTTCCATTAGCTGCAATGCAGCAACAACCAGGTTTAACAACCAGCATCTTTCTGAATTCAAAGTGACCAGTGAGAGTAAGTACTATATGGTTTATGAGACTTCCTGACTTAAAGGTTCCTTTGGAGACATGGACAAGCCGTAGGTGCCGTCTTTCTTGGCAGCCGCCAGGGTGTTCTTCATCAACATGGCGACCGTCATGGGCCCCACCCCACCCGGCACAGGGGTGATGTAACTAGCCTTCCTGGATACTCCTGTTGGAAGGACGACATAAGTCACAATCAATGCTTTAGCATACAATAATCTATCAATGAAGTTTAAACCTTCTGCGACATGTTTCATATACGTGTACCTTCTTTTATTGTTATACAATTCCATTTATTAACTGGAAAATGGAGAAGCAAAATATAAGATTGGCTTAGAGTTCAAGATATTTAATATGGAAGAATAAGCAAAGGTGAGCTGTAGCAAACTGTGCAGTCCAGGGCTGAAAGCTGAGAATGATGACAAAACATACAAAAGAAAAAGACAATGGAAGAAAACTGTTAAAGACTGGTAAGAGTTAAAAAAAACTGTTAAAGACAACGAAAGGTTTAGCTGAAGACTTTGGTGTTTGCAGAAGGGGTGGAAGAAACAACAGAAATGACATTTTAACATAAATGATTACAGTAAAACTTGTGTATGGTTGTCTGCTGGGAACACAAAATATGCAGCACAACTATGCAAAGCAGGAAGGACCAGCGAGGCTGCTTATAGCTGTAAAATAAAATCTGAAAAGAAAATTCTCTTTAAAAGCAATCTTTAAAGCTGTAGCTAGCTCAGATATACCGCTTTGTGTGCTCTGCATGTTGTTTGAAAGGAAATAAAAGAAAAAAAAAGCTTTGTTTAGGTGCACTGTTATAGCAGGTGTTGCTATAACACACGTAGCTGAGTAGAGGATTACTTTTGTGTGCTGTTGTCAGTCCCAGCTGTACTGGCCCTTAGCAGCCTGCATGGTGTTCTTCAGCAGCATGGCCACCGTCATGGGACCAACACCCCCCGGGACGGGGGTGATGTAGCTCGCCTTTTGGGAAACACCTGTGTGATGGGTAAGTTATTAAAACAACAGTGGAATACTACTGGACAGATCCAAGATGTGAACAAGGTTTAAGGAGTTAACCAAAAATTTGGCATAAAGTTTGGCCATTATTTCATAACAGTAGCATACAGTATATATTCCTTATAGAAAGGTAAAGGTAGTCATATATCCTTGTTGAGGCCACAGGGCCAATGGGTTGTTAGTGCACTGTATCTAGGGCACGGTATTGGAAGGCATTGTTTGACTTATTGTTACAGTAAAGGATTCTGAAAAAATATGACATTGGTTGAAACTCGTAGCGAAAAAGAAAAAAGAAGGCCATCGGTAGCTAGCTTCATGTCCTGCAAAGATCTTGTCTGGAAATCAAAGCAAAGATGACACAACAATCACCAATGGAGATGTTGAAAGCAAAAACATAGAAACAAACCTTCAAAATCCACATCCCCGACCAGTTTCATCTTGCCGGTGACGGGGTCCACGACCCTGTTGATGCCCACGTCTATCACCACCACACCTTCCTTCACCATGTCTGCAGTGATGAGGTTAGGCTGTCCCACCGCCACGATGATGATGTCTGCCGTCTTAGTGAACACCTCCAGCTGGTCCCCGGGGGTGTACCGGTGGCAGATCGTGGTGGTGGCATCAGCTACACAGGAAACCAAGTGGTTAACGATTGGGAAAGCAGAAATGTTTCTTCACAAATTTTCACAAAAGATTGTGGTGGAGGTATCAGTTACTCAGGAAAATATGCACAGAAAACTCTATAAATAAGGTCAATGTTTGCTTTAAAGAAAAGCAGAACATTTCCTTCACAATATTTCTAAAAAGATTGTGGTGGTGGCATCAGCTGCACTGAAAACCAAACATGCAAGAACTATTTGGTCAATGCTTGCTTTAAGGAAAAGCAGAATATTTCCTTCACAGTCATTCTGGTGGTAGTGTCAGCTACACAGGAAACCAAGCACGCAAAACCTTTAAAAGGTTAATGCTTGCTTTAAGGGAAAGCAGAGTATTTCCTTCACAATCTTTCATACATGGTTGTCAATGTGGTGGTGGTATCGGCTATACAGGAAGCCAAGTATGGAACAACTATAAGGCCAACATTTATCAAGGAAAAGCAGGATATTTCTTTCACAATCTTTCATCAGCTAGACAGGCAACAACTACAAGGTCAATGTTTTAGGGAAAACTAGAATATTTCCATCAAAACCTTTTGAAAAGGTATCATACTTATACATTCATTAGTGGAGAAAATGCTAATCTTCAGGCATGCACCTGTGGTAGATTGTAGTGGGTGTCAGCTGCACAGGAAAACAGCAAAAATAAGCTATTTCCCTCTTCCCTTATAATAATAGGGAAGGGAAGTATACATGTAATCTATGCCTTACATAAGATTTCCATTGACTAATGCAGCAATGCTATCGGCTGTTCCAACCTGTATACTTGATTCTCCGAAGGAGTCTATATAAATTCCTTAGTTCACTTATACAACCATTAGTGTACAAAATACAAGACTTGAAGCACTTATTTTGTCTTCCAGCACCATCTTGTGTCTCAAGATAACTGCTCTAACATGTACTTCAAGCAAAGACGTCTCAGACTTCAAAAACAATGTACTGGTATTACCACAGTAAATGACACTGCCGCAGAACTTTTGAATATTCTACTTATTCCTTTCTTGGATTTAGAAACACTGTTTCTGGTAAATCCCATCATTTCTCAATGTCTCAGTTTCAGACGTAATGAGAGGGAAAACATGTCATGTTAATATACATGAATTGAAACAAATGTCACAGGCATTATAAGATCATAATCAACTGCTATATTATACTCAGGATGTAATGCAGCATTCAATTAACATCCCTGTTTGAATCAGAAGGCCCCTTCAAACTTATTCCAAATCAGCTAGAATGAAGAATTTGAATGAAAATTTAGCTGACTGAAGTTGAGTCTAAGTCTGGTAAGGTGAATAGCTGGCTCTATCTTCATCCAGTTGTGGTAAAATATTCATCAGCAAATATCTAACAGTTTGTGTGTGTTTGACACTGAATACTATGACACATATAAGGAGCCCAAAAGTTGAAGGGTTTACCTACCACAGATCTCATGGTGCTCCTTGTCAGTGTGTAGTAGCATGGCCAAGGGCATCCCCACGTTTTTCGACCTCCCACACACAACAGCATTCTTCCCAAAGGTTTCAATGCCTGCAGAATAAATAACAAGTATTAGCTAACATGTATGACATAAATTTGGAGTACTAGTAAATGAAGAGATGAATATTATTAACAGCTCTATACTGCGTTCCCTTTATCTGATGTCTTCAAAGTTCAAAGTCATGATTAAAGTAATTTATCAAAGTATGTAACAGCCTCTGACATTCCAAATAAACTAATCAATCTTTCATTCATTCTTTTATCAATCCATTCGTTGTGCGTCAAGAAATAGATGACATGGATATAGTACAGAATAATTGTCTGTCATTTTAGGAAAATTATTCTCTGCCATTCTCATTCTAAATCACAGTAAAGCAACTTTTCTTTCGTGGGTGAGAACTAGGATTATGCTTCACAACACCTCCAGTGGAGAGGAAAATTGACAAAGAATAATGCAACAGGAGCGTGTACTGTTCCCAACAGTGCTTCAACAAACAGTCTCTTAACACTGACTTCCTGTTTTTCCTTATCAGTTCTCTCCCATTCCCTGAAACCTTCCGCACTCTGTGCAAGAACCAGGATGATTAACTGATGATGCAGTGTCTCACAGAATTTGCTATAAGCTTTACAGATGAAAAAACAAGATAAGGCAGTCCCTTGACTCGTATATCAAGTGCTATCAGGCCAGGCAACCTGCTCAGTTTGTGAGAAGATTAATATGATGTAATCTGTTGATGTGTGGTAATTGATCATTTTGGATCAAGTTAGTTGAATTTCTTGGATTTGTATCAAAACATTAACTTAAGTCAGTTACATGAGATATTTCAGGATTGTACTGGTGACAAGAATTTCTATCAATGGATTCAAATAGCAAACAACTCAATCATTGTACATGTAGGACAATATCTATTGACCATTGACTGTGAATTTCAGAGCACATTCTTATCCCATACTACATAGTAAGGTAGATTAGTCTCATACTCATAGTATGTTTGCAATACTAACATAGCAATAGATGTCATAATTTACACCTTGTATAATTGTTATGCAATAAAGTTTTTCATCTAAACATTACATCACAGCAACTTACTATGAATACTACTTTTTAAGCGTACTGGAAATATTTCCTAAATAATTCTGTTTCAACTATGAAGCTTCAAACTTGTTCAAAGTTTTAATCCACCCTTATTTTCAAAACATAGTCTTTTACACAAACTATGGGTCTCAGTCACATGTTTTAGAATGCAAGGCAACCCTCCTTTCAATTACAGATAATCAGCTATTCTGGTAGTGCTGCTATTTTCTGATTACATTCCCCAAGAACTTCCTCGTTAATTCATGCCCTGAAGCCTCCAGCTAATCCTACTTTGACATTGAGATGACCGCCAAACAACATCACAGGACCACATCTGTGATTGGTCAATTAAAGAGGGACTTGCTAATTTAAATTACTGGTATGTCACAGTTGGACTGACAGTGATTGAAATTTGATTTAAATACCTCAAAGTACCCCCTGAAAATGCAGGTAAGTGTAGGTAAAATTGGAGCTGTGCAGGTATTTTAAAACCAGCCCCAGACACTAGGAGGGCATGTGACCAGTGGTCGTCAAAGACTGCTTTGCATTCTTCCAAGTAGCAAGTACAATGAAGACACCAGACAACTTGGTAGAATGAAAGATGGTGCTACATTTTTTTTCAAAACATTACAAATTTTTGATGAACTAGTAGGCAAAGAAACTGCAGTGCAGGTAAAACTTTTCTGGTGCAGGTACATTTGATTGTTGCATACAGGTATGCAAATAATCAATGCATTTAGTACATTATACATTACAACATGAATGACAGGCAGTGAGTTTCACCTGATCTCCTGATCATCTCCATCACTCCGTACGGTGTAGCTGGGAGGAAGGCCGGCTCATCCAGACAAAATCTCCCCACGTTCACCACATTAAACCCATCCACATCCTTCTCAGGTGCCACCTGCCCACAAATTAGAATATTATGAAAATGTACATGTAATTACATGTACTTGCATAAATATATCTTTATATCAATCAAGGTAGTCTCCAACTCAGTGAACAAGCTCAAGCATTCACAGTTCCATTGGTTAGGCCACAGTAATTTAATTTGTTGGTTCTAAAATACACTTCATTATTTCTCAATTTGCCCCCAAAATACCTGTATCTTTCATATTTTTTTGTTGCACCAGACAGTTGAAAAAAGTCCTTGCTCCTGTGTTTCAGTTCATCCCTTTATCAACCAATTGACTTTGTGGCTCTTGTGGTAGGAATGCCTAGGCCAGTTTTTATCTTTTTTTCTTGCTTGCCCACATTGGTTTGCTGCAAAAATCTGAGAACCAGTACATCAAATTAGTATGGTCTTAGCATCAAGTACAGTAAGAAATTCCTTTCTAGATACACTTAAAAACCACCTTTGTTGCTAGCTATGCAAAGGCAGTGGTCGAAATACTTTTTTTCAGTGCTCTGCAATATTGCAAAAGAGTAAAAATTTCGTCCTGCAATTTGGAAATACTTTCTGCAAATACACAAGCCCCCATATTACAACCTTCTGAAACCAATAATGCCTATTTTTACATCATATATATATAATGGTATAGCTTTGTAAATCTGTAGCATTACTGAAATTCTTCAAAATATCACTCTTTTAAATATGTTTGGACCGTAAAATTTTATCGGTCCGGTCCACAAAAACCGAAACGTCGGTGGACCGGTTTTTTGACCGGAACAAAAATCCATATTTGTTGTTACTGAATAACTGATGATCACTACATACAAAGAAGCCTGCCAGGAAAATGAAAATCCAGCCTTCAAATAAAAGAAGTTTACCTTAGTCTCCGTCTCTCTCATTTTGCAACAATATTTTCCCGTATTTTGGTACCGATAGTCATCTAGAAATCATAAAGGACAAGTCTACGGGCCGTGCTTGGTTCGGATCGAGCCGAAAATCACTGATTTTACACCATATGGTCACAACTGTGATGCACGTAAATTTTCACTCGAAATGAGAAATTACCGCCCAACAAAACAGACCATTAGGTTCCCAGTGCTGTATTTCTCTTTTGTTCATGGGATCAACTTGTTTTCTTTGCTTGAATCGTGCAAAATACCAAGGGAAAACATCGAAATTTCGGCAAATTAACGCCGAGGCGAGTGTGGTTTTTCGGAGGAGCCATGTTTCCTTTGCCGTGTTGCCTGCTGGGAAATGCTCAGCGAAAACTGCCGAAAATTGCCGAGGCAGTTGTCGGGTCCTCCCGGGAGACGAAATCTAATATCGGAAAATGGCGAGTGCCCATATTTGGTTATCGTCGCCTTTCGTCGCCTAGTCGAAATCGTTCAACTTTGACCCCAAATTCCCTTATATGGGACCATTACAGTCTGCTGGAAAACGCCGGCAGGTTCGTGCGGCGAAGGTTTTCGATCTATTCACAGCGCCACTGCTTTGCTAATTGAAAACTATTGAATCCGAAGCCTATTTTTTCCTTCTGCAAAATTGCAGATTGTAAGATTTTTTCTTCTGCAATCTTGAAAATCTATCTGCAAATTGCAGACTGCAGACGGGTATTTCGAACACTGAAAGGTTTGGTATCACAGGTTATCCCATATGATAGAACTAAACACAGCTTGCAAAGGGCTTTTCATGCCGGGTGGCAGATAACGAAATACTGACCGCATTGCAGACGGTTCTCTCGGTCATGTGGTCAGGGACGGGTAACTGGACCAGGAGGCCGTCCACCCTGTCATCTTTGTTCAGCTTCTCCACCAGGTCCAACAGCTCCTCTTGTGATATAGAGCTGGGCTTGAGGATAGTTTCACTGGTGATGCCTACAGGGGAAGAACAGAGGTGTTCATGTCTTATATATATGTACGGGTGATACTTATGCTTGAATATACCCGGGTAACCCCGCTCTCCCAAGCAATGAAGCCCTGTACTTCCCCTCTCCCCCAAATCCTAGCAACCCTCTCAAAAAGTTCAAATTTAGGGTTTTCTCTTAGTATTTTCATTAAAATTTGCTGATTTTTCTTATGTAGCAGTGTCAGTTTTCCAGTCAGCATTGTTTGTGAAAAGTTGTGTATACATGTAGACATGTGTAATAGCAGATCTTGAATTATAATAGCCCACTTCACTATAGGAATCGCTATGATTGATAAAGTGTCCAACACCTTGTGCCCTCTTAATCCTATGGGCCCTTTGCGACATCAAACAATTAGGGCTCACCTCTCCCCTAAAAATTTCTGGGGAGACCCCTGTAATAGAATCAAATTTTAAGGCTTGAAATAGTGATGGTTCCTTACCAGCTCCTTTGGCTGCTTTTGTCTTGGCCTTTACGTACGACGCGCTGGCAGGGTTGTCTCCCACCAGGACCACGCTGAGGTGTGGCGGGCGGTGTCCCTGGGCCACCCACTGGTCAACCTCCGCCCTCACCTCCTCACGGATCTCCTTCGCCATGGCAACGCCATCAATTATCTTGGCCTGGTGTCTGGAGCAATCAATCAATCAATCAATCAACATCACAAATATGGGTTTAATGATACATAAACATGTTACTGTAGTTCACTTTCTCGTAACGGCAGCACAATTTCACTGTCTGGGGAACATAGACACTGACAATGGATAATTAGAAATATACCATGATGTAATTTTTGAATTGCTATATTTCAAATCCTGACTCCGGGAAAGTCAGAGAAAAAAAAAGAGAAAAAACTCTTATATAACTTTACATATCATAAGTATAATATAAGTACTGGTAGCTAAATTATTTGTCTCTCTAGCTAAGTACAGTTAGTGATCATATTTGTGAGTTCATGATCATTAAACTTTAACATTCTCTCCAAGATGCTAATAGTTTTCAGGATGATTCCTTAGTTCTCCATAGGAGGTTAATGTGAAGTGCAGGGGTGCTTACTTGTACTCTGGCAGAGCCTCAGTGTTTGCCATGTGATAGGCACTAGCAGCTCCATTGCTGGGCTTGGTCTGCAGTCTGGGATGGGGGGAGGGGGGTGAGAGGGTTAGTACATACGGCATACATGCAAGAGAAATTATTCCATAGTGGCAAACTTATCCGTACATGCTACAGGATTACATTGTTGTCCCCCATTTTGAGGCACAGTGATTAGAGCATGTTTCTCTGTTTCTTGCTGGTTTTTACATGAGGTAGTACTAGTAGTGTGCATGGTCCAGTGGTTAGCAATCCTGCCTCTGGACCACGAGGTTGGAAGTTCAAATTGTTGATGTTGTCCCTCATTTCTGTGGATCTGATATTAGTCCATTGCAGGCAACATGCATGAATCTGAGTTTGGGGGCAGATATCAGACCCTAGCTCCTGCTATGTCACGTCTAAGCATACTACTTTATACAGTCATGTACTTTGATACCCCAGAAATTGGTTTTCCACAATTTGGATGGAACAAAACTATCTGGACCCAATCTAAATGGGGTCTTTTTTTTTATCCCAGTTGAAATTGGAATCTCCCCATCTAGATAGGCAGTTTTTCAATCCAGTAGCAGTTTGTTAAGATTGAGTGAAAGGCTGTGTAATTAAGCCCTAGGACGGACATGCAGTAAAATGCTGCAGATGGCAATGGGCAACACAATGCTTACAGTCACAGTTACAGCACGAATGAGCATACCAAAACTCATCAGGCCATGTAATAGGCTGCTAAGGATTTGTACCCTTGCTTTGATCAATTAGGGTATTTGGTTCTTTGACATATATGTACTTGATGCATGGTTCTTCTCAAAACTAAATATGAAAAACGAAATTGGATGCTCCGGTTCCAAAAAAGCTGCTAGGGGGACTAAACCCACACCAAAGTTTGCTACCCACGATTTGCTTAACCCATGATTTTGGACCTATTGTTCCAAATACATGGGTTTCAAGTACAAGTCCCATCTGTTTCATCAACTATAGATGCGTACGTTCAGCAGTGGTACTGTATTTGGCATCCATCTGGCAACTCGACATACGTGTACATGTATTATACCTGATATTGATTTACTGATCATTGGACACGCTGAAGGTTAATGTACAAAGATACAGATCACAAATGGCTGACATTAACAAAACTTCCACTTGCTATTCATTTTAGGATTAGGGGACTACACACACAATCTAAAGGATGTGCAAAACCTGAATGAATTTATTGATTGTGGCTCCCATTCTTACAAACTAGGATTACTAGGTGTACATTGGCCTCCACAGGACATAATTTAGAATTGATATTTTTAAAAATCTTTGTGCTGGTTTCATACTGTTTTCTGATTGCTACTGTGATCTCATGACTGCCACCCACTGGCAGTTATTATTGGTGGAGTTAAAAAGATGAGAGGCCCAGCATTTCTGAGGTGCTACCAACATGTATTATAATAGCAGTCGTCAGAATGTCATGGTAGGGAAGAATAAACAGTACATGATAAAAATACTCCCAAATGCTGGTCTCTAAGCAGATCTGTCATAACCTGCTGGCAAGACCAAAAGATCTGCTTGTAGATTACCACAACACTGCCAGTGGAACCTGCTAATGCTATATACTAGTATGGAGGCTGTATGTCCTAGCATATAGTCAAAAGTACCAACTACTAAGTCTATTTAAAAACCAGCTCAGAAAAGAACAAAAAGCAGTCATTCCTTCAAGTACCGGAGAAATCAACCAACAGAAATTGAGGTGTTCAAAAAACTCACTTTTTCCTAGAAGTTAGTAGAACTATCAAAATGTGGAACTTGTTGGTACCAACTATAGTAGGGGTATCGTCACTAGATAGCTTCCAGCTAGATGTGTAAAGGTAAGGTGTACCGTAACAGATAATTCAGATGATTGTTCGGGTAAGATAACTAGCTGCCGCACTGCATGCCCGTGAAGCTGGTGGGTTATGCTGAATGCAGTTATACTGGCTATACAGATATAGATCCTGATTCCACGAACCACCAAGTTTGCCTGACTCCCATCTCCTCAATCAGACACACCCAGGTAACCACAGCTGGGCCCTCAGGTCAATAAGTAATCATCTGATCCATTGCCCTGCACAGTCGGGGCCTATAATGGCTTAGCCTTGCCTAGAGGAGCCCCCAATACAACCTCCAGCGCCTACAAAACCTTTATCAGCACTTCCCAACCCCACAATGATCTATGGTCATCATCTAAACGCCATTTTTGAAAGTCAGGCGGGATGGTTGTAAAGTAAGGTCAAACTGTGTTTGACATCATTAGCTCTGCTGGCGTGCACACTTTTTATCATCGCTGGCTGGATTGATGCTTGCCTATCAAAGTGTAACTCTGACTTTATTTCATATAATCATAAGAAGAACTTATGGCAAAAAGTGTGCAGGTTATCAAACATGTAGGTTACTTTGAAATCTACCATGATAATCAACTTTTACAGTCCTTTCAAATTCAAAGTGACAAATGTTGATAATCATAGATAGCTCATGTATCGTATCAAACAACTATAATAGATGTGCTATACTAAAACTAGTCAATGCCAGAGAACTAGGAAAAATTTCCAGTTTTGAGTGGTCAAAAGGTAAAGGTAGTCCAGTGGCTTTTTTTGAGGGTATTGGGAGATCAGGAGCCCATCCCTCTTCCTCCACTACCTTTTACATCCCCAACAGAAGTCAGGTACCCACTGAGTGGTAACCTAATGTTTAAATCATCTCTGACGGTTGGTGTGAACACAACAAACTGTTGACCTGAATTGTAGCCTTTGTTCATTGAACGAAATGAACCCGAGACCGTTAGGGTCACTGGGGTCAGTTTAAAGTACCACTGAACAAAAACATGTTTGACAACAAAGGCTCCCATTGGTCAATGCAGGCCATGCCCTCAGCACACCCCTTCTCTCCTTTCTTCTAAGGAAACCTGATCTCAGGAGTGACTGTTAACAACTGACCTTGGTCTACTAGTACCTCCTTGAATATTGACTAACTAAAAAAAACACTGTATAGTTTTTACAAAAAATCATTCAATTTCTATTTAGGTGACAATAATAGCTAGTTTTGCACATGCCTGACAATTTGAGGCTAAATTTGATGGCAATTAATGGGATAAACAATATTTGGATAAAGAAGCATTTGCAGCAATGGCTTTTTCAAACTGAAATGTAAAATGTTACATCTACTAGTCTACCTGTAGTACCTGTAGTATGTTTTCCACTCGCCTAACTTTGACTATCAATCTTCACATTGCAGATCAACCATGTAATGTTACCAGTAGCCATACCATATGTTATCTAGGCTTTGGCAATACACATGTAGGTCAGTGCATTCCCTTTAAACCTGTTATATACTCCTTATCACTCAGTCCAACAATTTATACCCATGACTGATCTATCTTTTCACATCAATGTCAAATCATCTTCTGTGAAGCAAAAAGAAGCAAGTATAACAGAACCCAAATTCACACGCTAAAGCAGTCGGTTATAACGGTGAGGTGTAGCGTCCAACCCGGCAAACTGGGAAAGTAAACACTCTCAGCGAGAAGATCAACAGAACCAGTTAACAAGTACGCTGCACTCACCGGGACAAGTGTTTGAACCTCAGAAGGGAGCGAAGCATGGTGAAGGGCTGCAGACAAAACCAACTTAGAAGTTGTCACACACCTCCACGCGAGTCTAGGTGCATAAACCTGGCCAGAACTGAACAGCCTGGGTACAAACCGGTTACGTGCGGTTCAAGGAAACCAGATACACTGTTGCAGTAGGACTACAATAGAAGCAGAGGCAGTCACTAATAGCTTCCAAATACGGAAGAGGTTGATACTCAAGCGAGCTACGCGCAGAGCCGAAAGAACGATATGAGACAGAGTGTTGAGGCAACATGTGTATCTTTTTAATTGTTTACCAACAAGGATTTGGGTTTTGCTTTGCATTGTTGTTATTGTTTGTCTATCAGTTACGCAATTACGACTAATTAGGTCAATCAAATACTGAGTAACCTAATTGGAGTCGGACTAACTGTGTCAGCATTTTTTTAAATTTTGAGTGATCAGTACTTTGACTATTGGTGAAAAATATCTTAGAAACTAATACAATAAATGAAGCACTTTGTACATGCCAAATGAAGTTTCCAGTACTGGGGTAACAAACTACAATGGATTACTGTATGCGACAAGCAAGGAAGTCAGAAATCTCTTGATTGAAAGAATGACGCACACAACCGAAGGTCACAATTCTCTGAACTAATAACGACATTTGAGACACGAATTTCTATGGTGCGAACAGAAGAAACAAATGGCAACATAATCTGCGTTAAACTACTAATTTATCTTTCCAGTGAAAAGATTGTGGCCTTGTCAAAATCAACAGGGGTGGGCGAGGTACATGTACTCCATCAAGCTTATATTGGATGTTCTGAAACTGTGGCATGTAAATGTAACTTAGGCGACACGCTGATTTAATCAATTGTTTCTCTAATTCACCCACTTTTTCTGATTTTCAAAAAAATCAGCAGCTGAATCAATTCCAACATGCTTTGGTTTAATTAAAAGTTGAAAATTCACTAGGATGCTTTATTGGCCTGCTTCACAGTTGAGAAAAATGTGAAGTGTACTTCAATTATATACTCAAACTTTAATGCGTAAAATTGCCTTGTACGTTACATACATGTAGTGCAAAATGTTGGCTGATGGACTGATAAGACATTTTTCCATATATGTAATTGGAAAACTAGCCTGGGTTCCATCCTGGTTAGTTTACGTCCGCTCCCAACTGGTGGTAGCGACTGGTGGTAGCGACTGTGAGAGCGGACGTCAACTAACCAGTATGGAACCCAGGCTAATTGGAAAACCAGTTCACACAGTAATTAAAAGTCACCTCACAGGGGAGGTTCTACATGGAGGGGCACGTTTCCACCAACCAGAAAATCTGAGTGTCCTAATTACATTAGAGGACGTGGAGATCACTTCTAATTGCAAGGACGACCTTTGTTACTATGTATCATAATGGGAAATTATGTATGAAATTGTATTTTGTGAAGTTTCCATGCCG